ATTTACTATCCCTGTTTATAGGAAAGACATAAATAATATGACAAAAGCTGTTGCAAAACTATTAAGTCAATTTAAAGATAGATTTAATGACTACCCATTACTAGCTCAATTTGATGATGGTAAAGAATTTTATAATGTAGGTGTTAAATCATTATTAGAGAAACATGGAATTAAGTACTTTTCTACTAAAAATGATAAAAAAGCTGCGATTGTTGAACGATTTAACAGAACGCTTAAAACATCTATGTGGAAATATTTTTACAGTAAAGGAACATATAAATGGATTGATATATTGGATGATTTAGTATATAATTATAACAATACAAAACACAGTACAATCTTGATGAAACCTAAAGATGTTAATAAAAACAATGAAGATGAAGTATGGAATACATTATACGGTCATGAAGTTGCTTATTTACCATTACCTAAGATTAAAATTGGTGATATGGTTAGAATATCAAAGTATAAATCTATATTTACGAAAGGTTATGAAGCAAATTTTACAGAAGAGTTGTTTAAAGTGACTAAAGTTATTAGAGGAGACCCGAATTTATATGAGATAGAAGATTTAGAAGGAGAGCCTATAATTGGTAAATTTTATGAAGAGGAACTATCAGTTGTTAATAAGAAAGATGATGTTTATAGAGTTGAAAATATTAAAACGTAAGAAGGTTAAAAGGTAAAAGATGGTTTTAGTTAAATGGTTAGGTTATGATAATAAACATAACAGTTGGATTCCTGAAAGTGAAATACAAAATATAGAGTAATCTATATAATGGCAGAAGGAGGTTTTGATTATATTGAATTAGAAGATAAAAAGCAAAAGAAGATATGCGATGATAATGAAAATGCTAAACAATTATTATTAATGATAATGATGATAAATTATTTATTACTGATAAGGATGGTATAACAATAACAATACCTAATAATCTTCCTGATGTTCCTACTTCAACTCCTATTTATACAAATATTAATAGACTTGAAAATGAAGTTTCTTTTGCTGTTGAACAGTTTATTACAAAAAAAAATAAAAAAGTGTTTAGATTTAATCACCTAAAAGGTATGGCAGCTTCTGAAGGTTTAAATTTTAGATTAAATTTAGGTAAAACTAATTTGAATAATATTACTTACAAACCATTAAATACAAGAAATCAGCGAGGTGCTGAAAGAATTGTTTTAACACGTAATAGTAAAGGAGTACTACAATACAATAAAACAAAAAAATCAGAAGAAGCTGTTAAACAATTTAAAAACGTAATTAACAAAATTATTAATTTGCAAAATGAATTTATAAAAACTGAAGAGAGTATGCCTATGGTTGATTTAAATAATCAATATACAGAAAATTTCAATCAAATAACTAATCAAGAGCTTAGAGAACATATAGGTGTAATGACCCCCTCTGGAACTATTGATAAAAGAACACGTCCACAATTCATAGAAGCACAAATAAATCACTTTTCTGAAGAGCTAAACAAAACTATAGCTAGAATAGATGAAATAGAAAATGAAAATGGTATTGACAATAATATTGATGAATTAACTAATTTGCACAAAAGGGCTGCGGAATTAGAAATTATAATTAAAGAAGAAGAAGATCAATTAGAAAAAGAGGATGTACGAGAGAAACAGGAAGAAGACATTACTAGGTTACAACAGTTTAAACAATGGGTTAAGGAAAATATCCCTGGATTATCAGCTTTAGCTATATCTGTGGCTGGTATAATTACAACCATTGTCATAGGAGCTAGAAAAGCAATCCTTCAAGGTGCTCAATCTACTAGTAAATTTTCTAAGGCTTTAGTAAATATAGGTAAAAAATTATGGCCAGTGTTAGGTCCATTATTGAATATTATCGCTCAGGTTATATCTGGGGGAGCAAAAGGTCTAGCATGGTTAGCTTCTAATCTATGGGTTTTAGCTATTGCTGCTGCTTTGTTAATATATGATCAGTATAAACAAAGAAGAAAATAAAATATGTTTTAATATATATGAATAGATTATTACAAGAAGAGCTTTTACCTGGTTATAAAAAGACTGCTATGACAAAAATTAAAGGTAACCGTACTTTTTATAGTATAACCTTTAACCCTAATAGTCTTAAACCGAATGAACAAGTTTATATTAATATTCCGAAATTGAAAGCAAATAGTTGCTTAGTGCCTGGTTCACTTAATCTATCGTTTGATCTTAAAATAAGTAATACAAAAAGTCACTTTATAAATAATCTCAGTCAGATTTTACAACATAGACTACAAATTAAAGTGGCTGGGGAAACCCTTTACGATTGTAGTGAACATAATGTTATAAGTGTATACAAAGACTTGTGGTTACCTAAAAGTGATCGACAAGGCCTTATTGAATACGGTATTTGTAGCGAAAATTTACGAAAACTCATTTCGAAAGATGATACTGCTGCAACAAGTGGAAGTCCAGAAAAATTAGCAGACAAATTAATGTATGATATATATAGTACAAAACAGAAAATTAATGTTGATAATATTCTTAAAGACCATGGTCTGTATTGCCCTTTCAATATGAATAATAACTTTCAATACATAATAACATTGCCACCAAGTGATCAAGTCCTTATCCCCCAAAGTGGTCAAAATATAGGTGATTATGAATTAGAAAATATTCAACTTGAATATGAAACTATTGAAAACCAAGAAATTGCAAATGAGGTTACAAATTTATATTCTATAGGAAGAAGCTATTTTATGAACATATAACCCTCTTAAAAAGGAAAAATGGGATAAGTCAAGTACATTACAGAATATAAACGTAAATGTCCTCGTAAAAGTATGAAAGGCATTGTACTATATTTACAGAAGATTCAGTTAGTGATAGTGAAAAATTTCTATTTCCATTAATCGATAAAATTTCTGTGACAATGGGGTGTGCCAAATTGTATTTTCAACAGGTATGAATAAAAACACATTTTATGAAGAAGCAAGAAAATTTTTGATAGAACTATTCCGATAGATTGCTTCATGACAATTGAAAATTTTATAAGGATAAATTTGCATTAGTTATCGATCTACGCACCTTTCAAGAAAAAATATTGCTGGTAACGGTAAAAATCATTAATACTCAAAATGGCGTTCTACTAGAAATTAAAAAGAGAGTATATACAAAAGATTTAAACTGTTACATTTATGTTATTAGTGATGCTCTTGTTCAATTTGTTAATAATGATTTACAAAGTATTCAATACTAAATAACCAGTAATATATAAATGAATACACCTTTTAATATGATTATTGTAGGTATGAAATTGTGGTAAAACCTTCATTTCTTTAAGAATGCTAGAAAAAACTTTAATAACATTTTGATTATATTATTTTAGTATGCCCACATTATCATATAATAAAACCTACAAGAATGGAAATATATAAATGATAATGATTATAATTAGGTAGAATGTTACCAAGATCAGGTAGATATTGTTTTAAAATATGTGAGTGATGTATATAAAGGTACAAATAGTCTTATTATTTGATGATTGCAAGTGGATTAGACATTAAAAATAGGACATCTGAATTAGTTCGTTTAGCATTCAGTGCTCGTCATTATGGACTTTCTACTATTGTTACACACAATTAACAAGTATTGCCAAACCTTATCGTGAAAATATAAGTTATTTAGTTGCATTTTATAATACAAACCGCAATAATATGAAAACAATATTTGATGATTATCTTTATGGTGTTGAGAAAGATGATATAGAAGAAATAACCAAAAATTGAAAAATAATAAATTTGCTCATCTATTTATTCAACTAATATATCCATACCAATGGAAAATTGTTATTCCGCAATAAAACATGTGTTAATATATATAAGCGTAAAGAGCCTGAAACAATTGATGATATAATTAATGAGATTGATTCCGCAAATGATACTATCAAAGATGCTGTATGTGATGATAATATACAAGATAAACCGCAAGAGGGTTTAATAAAAGAGATCAACTACTTAAACTAGCTGAAGATGGTGATTTAAACAAGTCAGTTGCTTACATTAAAAATAGTCAAAAATTATTGATAAATTATACATTGAATACGAGAAAAAACGATTACAAAAAGCTAATGAGTTTTTAACTGATTTAGTTATATCAAAATTTTCAGATATATTAAAAGGGTTTGATGCTATTGAAGACTCAAAAGAATTAACAAAACAGCTTAAATCAGACGACCTTTTAAAACGAGATGTGTATAGTTTAGTAGAAAAAGTATCACCATTGTTACCTTTTTTAGGGTTTTTATCTGGGTGTATAACAACCGTTAAACATGTTTATGAACATAAAAATAATAAACAGGATATAAAATCTGAGGAATAATATAAATGAGCTTATTTTATGGGCATGATAAAACAGATATTAATGTAAATATACAAGGACCTGTAGATAAAACACATCTATCAGATAACCACTACACTAAAACTCAAGTTAATAATAAATTTAATGACTACTATACTAAAACGCAAGCTGATAATAAATATGTTTTTGTCTCAAGATTAGCCAACTATTATACAAAGAATGAAACAAATGGTATGTTTTAAGTTCTAATTTATCTAAATATTATACAAAGACTGAAACAGATGGTAAGTTTAATACTTTTATACTAAAACACAAGCTGATAATAAATTTAATGACTACTATACTAAAACACAAGCTGATAATAAATTTAATGACTACTATACTAAAACACAAGCTGATAATAAATATGTTTAGTTCTAATTTAACTAACTATTATACTAAAACACAAGCTGATGGTAAGTATGCTTTGACTTCTAATTTAAATTACTATACTAAAAACACAATCTGATGGTAAGTATGCTTTGACTTCTAATTTAAATAACTATTATACTAAACACAAGCTGATGGTAAGTATGCTTTGAATTCTAATTTAAATATTATACTAAAACACAAGCTGATGGTAAGTATGCTTTGACCTCTAATTTAACTAACTATTATACAAAGAAAGTTGATAGCAGAGTAAATGGTAAGTAGTACACCATAGCAATCAATTAAATTATAAAATTTTAATACCGACAAGATATTATCAGAATTTATTTTAATAATATTAAATTTATTGAATTTACACTTTTATTAATAAATCCATCTGATAACTCTAAAACAATTAAATTAGATATATGATGGCAGATAAGATTAAAAAATTTATCATTAAAGTAACAAATGATAATGAAAAAAGATAGTTAATGCATTACTAGATTTATATCGTATACTGTGTTGATGATGATTCAAAATATTTTATTCATTATTGAACCAACAAAATCTTCAGTTTCACTAGGTTATGACGAATGGAAAAAATGGCAGCATTTAATGGATTAACAAAATTCAAGTTTATTCACAACATCAATCTGCATTATCTATGTCATTTAATGGTTTTCACAAAATTTTAGGGCTATTATAGAAGATAATATTCTATCAACTAAAAATTTGTAAATGATGAAATCGAAAAATTAAAAAAATTTATTAAAAATAACTATCAAGCTAAAACTTAAGATGAAGAATAATCCTCATGTTTGACTACATATCACATAACTGTTTGTAATAAGTAATTAATACAAAAGCGATATACAAAAAGATTCAAAATCCTGAAACAATTATTAAAAACACTTTAACAAAATTATATAACACTCGCTTGACAGACAAATTAAAACATATAGATTATATTTTGTAAAACATTGTATTATTATACATGCGCTGATTAAATGTGCTATTACATTAAACAACCATTGTTAAAACATGCACTAAACACGCCTGACAGACAAATTAAAAACATATAGATTCCATATTTTGTAAAGGCATCTATGACATTGTTGCGCTCAAAATTTCGAACTTAGTTGCCTGAAATTCTTCACTAACAATGATTTAAAAGATGTTTATTAACACTTGATTATTAAAGAATATTTCTACCACGCTGAGTTTTTCAGACCATTGTTAAAGGCCACTAGTTAATCCAATATACCAGTCGACTATAAAGCGCGCTGCTACTGATATTTTAATAACGCTTGATTATTAACACTTGATTATTAAAGACGGTTTTTTGAAGAGCATTTTTTAAGCCTCTGTTATTCTCGAATATTCTTCGAATATTCATCGAATCCAATGGGGGCGACCCCAATTTTTCACTTCGTGAAAAATTTCCCACCATCGTCGCCTGAATTCTCAAGGGCTCCATCCCCTGCTCGAGCACGAAGTGCTCTGCGCTGCCGAGCCCTCTCCGAACCGATGCTTTCTTAACAATTCATTCTTAAAGACGGTTTTTAAAACATATAGATTCCATATTTTTAAACTATAGATTATAACCTCGAGATTTTTACCCCCTTTGAAATAATGACTATTTTTTACACAGCTTTTTTACATGACCTTTTACCAAGGGACGTCTTTATACTATGGTCCTAATTTACGCTTTTATACCCACTGGTGTAGTAGTAATATACATGGGGGATTCGAATACATAAAAAGTAAACTTTTTATGTATTGTACTATATGTATATCCTACTAACTGTTTTATTCAAGAGTTGGTTTAGATGTATATGAATTGATGATTTCGAAGATACAGACTTTCTGACTTAAATAATAACGTTGAGTTCCAGCATTTGAATTTTCACCAAATGAAGTAAGGATGCAGCAATTAAATGAACAAATACACCCGTTGTTAGAAGATGATGTAATTTCTGGTGTAAAATTTCATTAACACAACGAATTTCCTAACAAATTATTCCACAGCTACATTCGGAACATAATATTGTCACAAAAAACTGCTTTTTATACAAGCAACAAAACATTTTGTTCATAAATTTAAACTTGTGTTGATAGAAATAGAAATGACGTCCTTGAGAATGCTAAAATATAAATAAGTATTTCAAGATACATAACCAACTGTTAATATTTACAAACATTAGCAAAAGTGAGAAATCTTCATTGAAATAAATTCCTCCCCAAAATGTTTGTAGTCAGATGCTTTAAATAGCAATTTTGATTCATTAAAACAATGTTCATTTTAAAAACAAAGAAGCGAAAACATGATCAATAGCATCCATTAAGGGATCCAAAACCTCTCTGCAATTTAGAATGGCGAAAATCATTGAATTTCTGAATTCCACATAAGACTGATGACATGTTGGAAGATATAAAATGGCACCACAAGTATTTGATTTTGGGTACTTCGACAATTCACCATAATTTTCAACATGGTGCAAGAATTTCAATTCAGGAGTAAAGACAATAGGTGGAATAACCTTCTATCCAAATGCAAAATAAATAATGTCAGAAAACGTTATGCTTGTTTCTCCCTCTTCGATATCCACTAAAAGATCCTGCCAAAATGACAGTAACCTATTTTCCAACTCATATTTGTTGGACCCTACTTCACTTCGGTTTATAATGAAAAGACTTTCCATTATGTCACCCGTAATAATCTGGGCTGTATAACACATTTCGGGTTTAAAAGCAGATGGATTTTCAGTCATACTTTTTAAAATGCCAAAAGAATCCAACCCTTTTTTGAAGCTTTCTAAAGGTGTACGGGTTCTACCTAAAACATACCAGGAAGCAGAAGCCTTCACAACGTTTTTTACATCTTCCAATGTCCTTACCATCTGGAAATTTCCCGAGAAATGAAGTAGTGTTTCTATGTTAGAACACATCAAATTTTGCGTATCCTCAACTGTTTTGGCTTGAAGTAAGTTTTGAGATTCATTCGAATGTCTATGTCATCAACATCAAAAACAGAAACAGAAACTTTGTCTGGGCACACAATCAGACATTCAAAAAGGATAGGACTGAGGCACCTTGGCCCAATTCCACAATGCAAGAGATATGCAAAAATGTCCTGCCAGAAGTATTAGATTCTCCAAACATCTTCCATTACAAGACAACATTTTTTCTCATTGGGGCCAGTAAATAACTCAGAATTAGTAATATATTCCAGCACAAAGAGTTACAAATTCTCTCATTGGACCACCCTGGTCAACCGCACCTTCAGAAACGCCTATGTCATCAGTAAATTTCACTGACATCCTATTTTCTGGACTAAATGACTTTCTCTCAACATTGCGTTTATTCCTTCCAAATACTATTTCGACAAATATTAAACTTTGAAATTTGAGAATTAGAAATGCTTTCTGACTTTTGCTCAAGAATTTCACAGATTTAATTCATCAAGTGGAAGGGCCAACACTTGTTGCAGACTGATTTTGATCATCGTTATCTTCAACATCAACAGCATCAACAATTATATCACTATTGACTTCATCAAAGGTAGTGATGCATACAAATCATCAAGGCAGCAATCATTACCTTCCACTAAATTTCCAGGATGTTCAAACAATTTTCACTTGGATGATCTGCTGCTTTTTCATGATGCTCTGTTACATCTCTGCTGGAACACATTCCTCATTTCAATTCTACAAAATGCAATAAAACAGTAATTTTGTTCAGAATGTGAATTTAATGCGCATATGCAACAAGTTTAAACACTATTGCAGCCTACCCATCAATACTATCTGATATTTTTGTTTCTTTGAACTCTTGTTTGTACTAGTGCAAGATTCTTCAGAATCCAGTCTTCTTGATGTAGAAGGTAGCTCATCAAAATCTTCATCACTACTACAGACTCATCAAAAAATGTGCGATAAGTAAGCACAACAGCAAGCTAGCCAAAAAACATAAGTCATGTAAAAATAATACTTAATTCCACCAGACTTTTAGATGGTTTTGAGATAAATGGTTTTGTACCAACATTTTACTTAAAATGTATCAGATAACTCCTGATCAGGCATTAACACAGGCCTGACAATTTTATGCCATCCATCATTATTTCACACTATAAAAATAATGACAGTAAACTAAGCTTAAATTAAAATAAGAGTTGCAAAGTTATAATATTTCTAACCTTGTGTCATTAAGTTTCTCTTTGAAGAATCCTAAGGTTCTGCAAAACTTGATTTTCACTCCAGTCTTTTTGCTATCTGTACTGCACTTAAAACATGACCTAATTGGTAAAGATTCTGCTTGCTCTGTTGTTTTGGGACGACATTGTCAGCAGGGGAAGTCAAAGTACAACTTCTTTGTGAAGGTAGAATGTAACTTTTATGACGTCTTTTCACATAGTTTGCAGGTTTTCTTCTTTAGAATACACAACAAAACAAAAGTAAAATTCTGTCATCGTTCTATTTCAGTATACATCATACGAAAGGACCACTTTTTAAGGGACATCTCAATCGGACGGTACAACAACAAAACTCTTAGAATTTTGACTGCCTATACCTTCTTGAGGTAGAAGAGGTATAATTTCGTCTCACATCAAATATTTGATAGGTGTTCGTTGGCTGCACCCCAGGTAGAAACGGAATGTAAACGTATTTAGCGACTGAAGTGGTTGACTGTGAACATCGATGTCATTTGTGTTGTTCCATTGCGTCAACTTCTTGTCTGTTCACTGCAGCAGCCCACGAGGACGAAATATCGACGAAACCTCGGATTCGACATTATTAAAGATGCAGCATTAGTATTCTGCGAAGCGTCAAATGCTCGTGACAAACTATCCTTTTGGCTGTTAATTATAGCATATTGATAGAGGAACTGCTCGTTTCAGTGGTATGTTTGCTGCCGTAAAATGGCATATAATACAAATACAACATCCACTGGTGCAGCTCAAAGAAGAAATTTCAGGGCTTCCATTTACTACATTTTCAAAGTTCGTATGAGGACAATATTTCTTCGCGTATTCATATTTTTTAGGATTTTGCAACATCAAAAGTTCGAAGCAAGGCAATCGATCAACAGGGCTCAGTCACTCAGTACTATGCTTAGTACTTTTTTAAATATCCATCGGGAAGTCTGGCTCGGAGAATGGTACTTAGACTAATTCTAGGCTAACTTTGTCAATCCAAGAACACGTGCAGCAGGGGCGAAACTAGCACCTTTTTAACGGGGGCTGGGGATGAAATACCCTGCAAGACATAAGATGCCCTGCAGATCATATGGAACAATTACACTATATATTTTTGTATTACATGTTGTATTATCTTGTAGCAGAACGCAGTTTAGCGTACTATTAAATCTTTAATGGCAGTTTCGCATCTTTGCAGTTGCCCAATTTTAAAAATAATATTTAAGTCAACATTGTCCGTAAGATCTTTCACATGCAAGCGATTAAGTCATTTAATCGCGTATCTTTCATTGTGGATCTCAACAGGTTTTGACAATCTTAAGCTTGCTGAAACACCTTTCACCTTTTGCCACGGACACTGGAGCGGTCAGCAATAGTTGATACGCCTTGCACACCGTTGGAAGACGTTTTTGTGTTTGAAATAACGCAACGTCTTGAAAGGATTTAGGTTCTGATTTAAGTTGTGATGACACAATATTATTGAAATTTCAACTCCGACCTTGATATTTCTGCATCAACATCTTTACCGCCGGTGGAAAAGACTATACATTTCATTAACTGTTTCAGCCATCGACCTTTCTAGCGGCGGCTGTAAAGCTCTCTCCAAAGTTTTATTTTTGTCGATGCAATCTAATGTTATCGGTAATACTCGGTAAATTGAGTCTAGAACCAAGTACATTTCCTTTCGGTAGAAATCTTTGCATTTTGTTTTATTTCGGAATGCTCGCCAATTCGTTTGGGTATTTCTGATCGATGATGACAGTGTATTCTGCCATTACGTCTATTCCTACTTTGGTTCCAAATGCAACCATTGCCTCTATCTCCGAGTCTAATCCGTTCTCGTACTTCGAATTTGTCTAAGGTTTTTACTGTAGCATCAATCAGGTTAAGTGCATCTACTATATTTAGCTCCTCCTCCTGCAGTTGTTTGGTTGGATTTTGGTTTTGTCATTATGATTCATAAACATAAGAGCAAAAAGTTAAATAAAAATTCCTTTTTATTCCATCGCCTTTAGCTTTTACTTTTGATTCTACATCTCGAGCATTAATAACTTTCACAATAGCATTTGGTATTACCTCATAACTTCTCAGACAGCATCAATGGACTCAAATTGTAAACCATCTCCTCTTTAACAAGTTTCAGAAACTTTTAAATTGTTTTCAACATCTTTGCAACTTTTTCTATAATTTATTTCTTTTTGTGCTTTGCTAAAAAACATATACGTCTTCTAAGATCGTACATTGATGTAATTATTGAGCTATGTTTGCAACAATGCTAGTTGAATGTATTAGACCGATGACCCTGGCAGGGATGTAAGGCTTGTCTTTTTAAAATTTCTTCAACACTTTGAGCACCATTTAGTCGTCCAGACATTGATGTTGTGAAATCGTATGTTTGAAATGCATATCTATATCGATTTCATTTTCCATTAAAGATTTTATGACATCTTCCGTTCCAGCACCTGTTTTATCAAGGGTCTCTTTCATTTCAACCAGTCTCTCGCATGGGATGCCCGTCTGGTTGACATATCTTACAGCAACGATAAGCTTGTCTTGATTCGATGTATCAGGTGTAGTGTCTGCAGACACAGAAAATACACCGGCTGACTTAATTTCAGCACGAATTTCATCCCTCACAGATTGAGCCAGCAAATGAAGCATCTCATTTTGTGCCTCTTAGCTTGTATATGTTGTACTGTATGGCCTGAGGCGCTGATCGTCCAGCCACAGCTTGAGAACAGGACAATGTCTTGAGAGAAGATTTACAATCTGAATGAAATTTCCGTCCTTGTCATCGCCTCCTCCTCTGAATGCCAATGACTGCCTTGCCAGAGTGCGAGCCACATCAAATAGAATTAACATAATTTCCTTGTTCTTTTCTTCATCTGCTTTCTCTTGGATCAATACTTCCTTCATTTTCGCATTCATCATCACATCGATATGGCCAGATGTTGTTGAGAAACGAGCAAAATCAGCCAGAGCAGCTTGATGGGACTTGCTACTGAAGTGTTTATGAAGTTTTCCTTTCTCATTTGCAGCAACGCTCCTCATTTTCATCCATGATCGTACACCATTTATCCATGCTGGACCACTTTTTTCTCGTCCTGGCCCACTTGGAAATAATGAGCATACAAAGCAATATGCTTTATTTTCCTTCTGACTGTACTCAAGATGAGGGAAAGAGTCGTACCAGGATGCATTAAATTTGTTAGGTTTATTTTTGGCTTTTGTTTCATTTACAGGAATAGACTTCAGTCTAGGTTGACAGGGTCCTTGCTGCATGAGAAATTTTCTTTGATCGTCATTCATATCTCGTGGCCTTTCGCTTGGATCACGACAAGTAATTTTAGTGCTCTTATCTGAAACTGGGCAACCAATTTCAATTTCATCTCGCTGTGCTTTGTTGATGACAATTGAACAATTTTTTACCAGTTTCACAAACAAATCTTGTATTTTTTTTGCTATGTGCTTCACTTTTTCTGAAAAGTGCTTCGCGTTTACGTGTCTATCATTATCTATTATCGCTTCACACACTGATGAAAAAGTTGTGATAGAACTCTTAACTGTCCTGCACAAGTGATCCATGTAATATTTTCTTGGTTATCTGAATCACAGTTTGATGACTTTTCACTTTGTGCAGCCTAAACGCATAAAGGCATTGTAAAAAAGACACATCCAGTAAATTAAATACAAAAATCTGCTTTTAACAGATGAATAAATGACAATTGGAAGATTCGCATTAAAAAAGATTCGTATTTTTATTGTGAACAATCAAACGACTAATGAAATAAGTATTACATGATTTAGTCTTAACGTCTACCTCTTCATTTGAACTATCATCACTCAGCAAACAACTATTTTCTACTGCTCCAAGTCTCGCTGCGTGACTGTTAACAGAAGTGTCGTCGTCAACAAATAATGGCTCTTCAATAACCACACAAAGTTCCACTTCTTCGTTTATATTATCATCTACCATTGCCTCAAATTCTGCTATTTCATGTGTACCAGACGTGTTGTCTTCAATAGTAAACGGATTTTCTGAAACAGCACATGACTCCAACTCCTCTTTGTTTTTTTCTTCATACACAACGACAGCTGTTTCATTTATCTCGTTAAGGCTGGTGATCCTTGACTCTAAAGACGTCGTACTTTTCTAAACATTAGTTTAAAACAGACTTTATAAAACAAGTCCTTTGTTACTGCACTTTTATGAATTTCAAAACAAATTTTAACTTACCTTGCACGACGCAAATGAGAGTGTTTTTTGTGACGGATCAACGATGTTAATAATTTTGCCTTTTCCTTTGTGAGTGGAATTATTATGTTTAGAAAAATTATCATTGAACATTTCTTTATTACATGCAGAACACTTAATTTTTTGCCGATACGGCCGTTTTCTCTTGTTCTTGATAACTTTGGAATTTTCTGTTATAATCACAATAAATACCAATCACATTTACACATTTGTTGGTTTCGGGTTTCTTGTTTAAACAATTGCTATTACTTACCATTCATCCTTGACTTTCCTTGTTCGTAAAATAAACTATACAAACACTAGCTACTAAAAAGCTTCAATCAATTTAAATCAACAAAACTTTATCTTAGTGTTTGTGTTTACTGATGTAAAAATATAGCATGGTGTTTCCACTTAAGATATAAAAACGTCAATAATTTAACTTACGAACACTTCGATGATGATGCATATCTGCTTTTAAAATGTCCGCCAAAACAAGAGGAAATTTATAAACAGAAAGTTTCCTTGATGCGTACCGTTTACCGTTCACCGTTCTTACCCATGAAGTGCAAATCCAGCTTAAATTAAAACTGAACTATATTTTCAAATTATGTGGATAACTGTTTGCACGTATCCTAGTGTTTAGTTTTGTAATTAGCACTGCAAATTCAATCGTTGCCCTGCAACGTTAACATTTTTGGGGGGTTAGTCCCCCCCCCCATAAATTTCGCCCCTGACGTGCAGTACTGGTTTTTATAAATCGGGATATTATTTTTTGGGTACACTTGCAAAATGTATCAATTCAGGAAGAAATTCAGACGCTCAAATGACTTCTTTTACAATAACGTGGAGGAAACACACAAAAGATGACGGTAGGAATTTTTAAGTGTTCTTTTTATTGTTTTGGTTGCACAATTTCATATTAATATTACCACAGTTATATTAACAAAGTATGTGTACAAATTTATTTATACAATGTGGTGTAAGGAAAACACTATTCGGAGCACATTTTCCAATTCCAAGTCTGGATTCTCTACATCCTTTAATCACAATGTCATATATGTTAATAGAATAGCAGTGTGTCATATGAATCTCAATTTTTTGAACAAGAAAATTAATTTGGGGATTTGGTAAGTTTACATATATTGTAAAACTATGTAGATATAAAAATACGCTATGTTTATGGGTTTTTTTTCATTTATATGTAGAATAAACAAAGTGAAGATATTGCTGAAAATTATGACAAACACCAAGAGTTAACCACCAAAACACAGGTTTTTAATGTACATATTGATATTGTTTCTCATGAAAAGTCATTGGAAGTGGTTATATGTAGGACTGCTTTCACTAGAAATAACTAAAAATTTTGAAGTAATTTAAAGAAGGCATGCATTATTTAAACACTTATTAAAAGTCTGTACCCATTTTAAATTAAATAATGGTCTTTATTTGTAGGACTCTGAAGATGTCTTTACCAAGCAATCTATCCCTATTATTACAGAGGAACCCAAACAACCATGTCAACATAGTCAAGTAGTTCTCACATATACAGTTATACTTTATACTGTTTACCACTAGTCATGTTTTTAATGTGTTATAAATTGACAATATGCGTGTTGATTGCTTATGCATGAAACACTGTGTAGCAAAACTTTATTAACATCTGGTAGAAATGTGCTCAACAAACATAAAAATACATTAAAATAGATATTTTTGAAACAGTGAACATTAATAATTACTGTGTACTTGTTCTTTCAGAGTCATTTGTCACCCACTTGCCACTATACTTGGCTATTGTTACAGTTTGACTTTGCATCAAATGTATCACGTCAGCAATCCTTTGTTGTTCATGATTATAATGCAAACAAAAGAAAAATTATGGTGATGTCAAATTTTATTTCCATAATTTCAATGTTGGGTATATACCCAACTAAATGATATTACTCAATATGCTTTTTTTGGTGCTATAATCTGCATGTATTTTTTTCTTCAGCATAATTCATTTGTATTTGTACATCGATATCCCGACCTATTGCTTGATGGCTATGGTTGGATATTGCGCTGCTCATGTGATGCAAATAGAAAACGATTTGTTGAAGCCCTACCTAGTAATATACAATTAGATCCTCAAAAAGGCATGTAAAATAGATGTTACTGAAATGAAATGATTAAAACAGGCCAAACAACATTTTTGTACTTGTCAGATATACCATATTTCAGTTGCATACACATATTAGCAATGGAAAAAATATCTGGTTGTGTATGATAGAAAGTTTGGTATTGAAGCCAAAGATTTTATTGAAAAAAGTAAGTGCTGTGTGTTACTCTTTCAGGATATAAGGTGCCTGAACAGCTTCACCAAATTTTGACTTACACTTACATACTATTTGTTTCAAGACCCTTGTCAAAGATGTGAGAACTTGTTACATATTAATCTGACATTGCATGTAGTGAATGTCTCAAATTTGTATTTGGCTTATTTTTTCAATGTGAAGTTCTTCATGTGGTATGGGAGAAAATGTCTTCATCCTTAAACTGACCCTGTCTTTTTCTGACACTTATAATTAAAGACAACTTTAAACATGTTTTATACCAATTTTATCGGTTTATATATTTCTGATTTAACTCTCCCATTTACTGTTTCTCATGTATCACGAGCAAACCATCCATATGTTTCATGGAAAACAAACAAGGATTATGTGGTTCCCTTAGTTAACATGCGACGCTCTAGTGCTCAACTATCTCGGGGTATCGGGAGGCATGAACCGAAAACGGGATTCTTTGGTTTTCAAAATTTATCTTTTTCTTTACAAGAATTCTTCTCATAAAAAAAACTAGAACGTCCAAGGATACTTCAAAGGTTCAAATAACTTCTGCCTTTTTGAACTATAACTTAAACAAACACTAAGCATGTTTATACGTTTTTTACTTATTACCTTTTACAACGTATTTTTCTCATAACTCTCTCGTGATGAACGAGAGCCTCCTTATACAATATGACTCTTTCATCATGAACGAACGCATCCATGGGCTTCACGGAAAAAAGGGATTATGTACTTTGTTATAATAGTTTCTACAAAGATAACATTTAATAAGCTAAGAAATTTGAAAATAAATATATTTGAGTTATTAGGAAATAACAAGTCGAGAATTCATTGATCATACTCATTCCAATTGGTCTGGAACAACCATGAGATTTACAATTTTGACCATCCAACCCTTTATCAAGGACTATATTGTTAATTAACGACAGTAACTTTATACGTCGTTCTTGCTGAACACCTTCAGGTGAAGTAGGATCATCAATAACCTGTTATATATAAAAACATAATTTATCCATAGAATTATAGCAAAGTTACGATGGACAGATGAGAGTTATTAACGCTATAAAACTTAAATTCAATATATCGTATAAAGTACCTCAAATCCCGACGATTTCTCGTATCGAAAGGATTCTAAAGTAAAGATGAAAATTAAGATGAGAAATTTCAAAGAATTGAAACTAGAGAATTTTTCAACAAAAAAAATGTTGAATATACCTGTACTACCACAAGATTCTTCAATGTCTATGATCTAAAATAATAGTCATAAAAACGACAATTTCAAAAAACATAAAAAAACTAAGTATTTGTAACATTGGTGAAAGATACAGGATAAACATGAAACCTTCTCAGAAGACGATGCAACGAGACCATAACCATTTGATGTGAGCTTCTTCCTAACAACGTTTACGTAATCCGTTAGCATACCATGAAAACTAACTTCTGGTTTAGTCGACGCTTTACTAGCAACCTCCTCAACGTCTTCAGGACATTTAACGTATACTGAACTGGTGTCAAAAGGCTCAATGACGATGACCAACCACTAGCCATACCTAACATGTTACCACCAGAGATCTTTCTTGGGTAGATCAAGGTTTTAGGAACTTCAGACAAGGGTTGTGTTGAGCTGAGAACTAAAAAAGAACAAATATGTATAGATGATGAAGTGGAGAACAAGAATAGAGGTTATAGAAGACACACTACGTATGCTCATTGGTGTTTCACAAGAGTATATATTAAAGGATAATTATGGATCCAACTAGTCTAAACAACTACGTACATTTAAGCAATCCATCTTTCCCATGGTAAACACACGTGTCAAAAAAACGTTATCAAATTAAAAAATTCGTGCAATCAAATAGTCGGACATGGTATTGTATTTGTAGAAGAGAGCCAATAAAATAAAAAGATTCTCTTGGGGCATTTGTAAATATTAGTTTAGAAATACAGATCGACTAATTATAAAGGCAGAAGATGTAAGAGTGAATAAAAACCATTTCCCGTCAAATCAAAGGAAAGCTTGGATATGACATGCAATATGCAGATATAAAGTTGTAGAGAAAAATAAAAAACATTTTTAACGTTGTCACGGATATTACGAGTGCCGTAACAAAGTGTTGACGAATTTCACATGCATTTAACAAAACAAGCTTAAGTAGACAAAGAGCATGCCAAAAATATATGATGGAAAACTTGCTCAGCGCATCTACAAGCACCACTTTCAGAGCTCGCTCTGTCACAAATTAATTGAGAATCTGAGCATGCGTTGTCAACTCCACAAACTCTCCAAGCTCATGGTAACGACCAACTGGATGTACTAGTACCGATTTTGGAGTAATTAGCTCGCTCAGTCACAAGTTTTAAGACAAATCATCTGCGCATGCGCAGTCTGATAGAGCATGCGCAGTCAACTTGACCAGCTACCTAAGTTCGTGGTCATGGCAACGACCAACTGCATCTACTAGCACCAATTTTGAAGTAAATAGCATGCTTAGCAACAATTTAATAGAGAAATCGTCTGCGCATGCGCTCGAGCATGCGCAGTCCACTCGAGTAATTGTTCATAGTCATGACAACGACCAACTATATGTACTTGCACTACATTTGTGTCAATTAACTCACTTAGTCGCAAATTATCAAAGAAATCATCTGGGCATGCGCAGTAACGATAACAATCATCCCACAAGTTTCGTACGCCTTTAAATTTTGGTATATATATATAAAGCTAAAACTTCATATAGTAGACGTCAACTAGCAGTGGAAGCTGGGTGCGATATAGTATGCAGAGGCTTAGGGGCCCTCACTTCGGTGGCCACCGCACTCTCCCTGCGTACCCTGAGCAAAGCCTACCGCAGGTGATCTTAGGGTCTGATGGGCGGAAGCTTGCTATTGGCATCTCCCAAGTAGGATAGCGTGGAGGGGCAGAAATCTCCTACCGAAACGTTAACATGCGGCGTTCTAGTGCCTTTCGCTTAAGAAGGTATCGGGAAGCATGGACCGAAAACGGGCTTTTTTGCTTTCGAATTTTATCTTTTTTTTTTCTTCTCATAAAACAAACCAAGCAATGTTTCAATTAACTTCTTATGACCCTGTCTTTTTCTGACACTTATAATTAAAGACAACCTTAAACATGTTTTTTACCAATTTTATCGGTTTATATCTTTCCGATTTAACTCTCCCATTTACTGTTTCTCATGTATCACGAGCAAACCATCCATATGTTTCATGGAAAACAAACAAGGATTATGTGGTTCCCTTAGTTAACATGCGACGCTCTAGTGATCAACTATGTCGGGGTATCGGGAGGCATGGACCGAAAACGGGATTCTTTGGTTTTCAAAATTTGTCTTTTTCTTTACAAGAATTCTTCGCATAAAAAAAACTAGAACGTCCAAGGATACTTCAAAGGTTCAAACAACTTCTGCCTTTTTGAACTATAACTTAAACAAACATTAAGCATGCTTATACGTTTTTTACTTATTACCTTTTACAACGCATCCTACACATAAAGGACAGTTATAAATCAACAAATTTTGTGAGAACATAAAAACGGCCATTTTTGGATTAAAAAATTCGCTTCAAGTAAAATAGGAAGAGTATGGCAGTTTACCTGAATGATTTTTCCAATGAAACTTATCAACAACAAATTTTTTTTTCTTAAAAAATGCTGGATCTCGATTCAAACAATACTCGTGCAATCTGCAGGCATTATCGTAAATGACGAACTCTGGCGCCAAAGAAATAAAAATACATAAGCATATCATCAGGCACATTCGGTTATGTTACTGAACTGAAAACTCTGTCAGGCGACTAAAACGTCACGCAATCTGTCCGATTCACTGATAATACCTTGTTTGTAGCACCATAAAAGGTACACGCATACGTAACTTACCATCAGGAAAACGTGCTCGTAAAATGGTAAATGGGATATTTGGTGATTCGTGATCCCTCATTATTTCGAATCCATAACATATACCTGGAAACAAAAACGAAGGCGCAATGTCACTTACTGCAATAGTAAAACAAATTTTCGTTGGCGCTGTTCATCATGTAAATACCGTGGGGACAAAGAATACAAAATATTCCAGGGATCAAAGTGCCATGCTTCTTCTTGGGCCTAGTGACTTTAGCACAATCTCCCTGCTGTGTCTTCCTATTGTCAAGAACATAATTCCCTCGTTGGACCAGTTCTGGCAGACAAGGTAGATATCCATGGGACGAATTTTGAGACACCGCAGGTAAGTTGTGTGGCAAACGCCACTGACCGTCCTTGACCTCGAACGGACTTATAGCCTTTTGTACCAATTCCGTTAGCAGTGGTTGAATAGTAATAGGAATTTCTTCGCTAGTCTCAATGATGTTAAGCAGTAGGGGCACTTCTTCATGAAGAAGTTTTAAATCAGTCGAAGGATTGTTTTTTGGATTGGCTCCATCAGACATCCTTATCAAGAGGTCCAAAACTTCTTCTTTGGGGGGGCACAATTGCGCATACTGGTTTGTCAGAAGCCAATGCTGCCAATAACCTTCTGCACGAGTTTGGACAACTAGTGATAAATCTTTGTTTCTCTAACCATTCAAATAGAGTCCTAAGGCCCTTTGAAGATATCTATAAATACGAGAAATTGTAGTATAAAATGAGCTCTGGAGTGGTCATACAAAATTTTGTACTCGTGGGGTAATAAATTCTTCTTACTTCAGATTTTAATTCTTGAAATTCGTCACAACTCAGCTTTGAATCACTGTACTTCTTCAATAAAGCTCGCACATTTCTCCAGTTGATGAAATTGCGCATTTCAAACCTAGTATTGGACAAAAGAAAACAGGTTGTTATTTTTATAACTATAAGCTGTGTACAAAAACAAAGTGAGAGAAGTCACCCTCATGCATAAAATGCTTTCTGATACGTAGATGAACACTCGTATTTACTAATTAGCAGACCTGTATATATTATATATTACAGATAAACTTCAAAAATACTTATCTTCCATCTAGCAATCCAGTATCAGACTCTCTTAAATTATTTGGTAAGAAAGTTTTCTGTATTCCAAGAGTTGTTCCATCCATCACCACCTTCTGGGGAATTCTTCCACATTGTCAAAATCAATATCAAGCAACCTTAATAAGAGAAAATTCAATAACTTAATAAAACAAGCGATCACTATCTCGATGGAATATTCATATTTTATTGATAGTGATCGCTTGTTTTATTAAGTGGATATTAAACAGTTGAAAACACAGATGAAGTCAGACGAGCTAAAATGAGTAATTTTATAAACTCAATACTATTACCTTTTCTGAAGCAAAGAGTATATCACACAATGCGAGAAGGGAAAGACCAAATCCAGCTGTTGGACCGTTTACTGAAGCGATCAAAGGTTTAGGACACTTGACATGAAGTCGTAGGTCCTAGGAAGAAAATCTTCCACCAACAATTAAATACAATAGATTTTTAAAGATGACTTTTATCACAATATCTCTTTAGACGTATTCCTGACGCTAGCAAACGTGAAAATCAAGTTGTTAGTGATTATATCTGCTAAATATGATTGAAGAAAAACATCGAGCCAAGAATCATCTAAAGACATAGAAACAGAACATAAACTTACCACATCGATTTCAATTTCATTGATAATTGCTTCTTCACCAAATTTCAACCAACGAATTTTGACCTTGCCCAAATTTAAAAGGAGTAATGTTGCAAAGGAAGCAAAGCGAGAAATGTCCGACGTCAATATATCTCACATTCAAAATATACTTTTCACGTTTTTCAGCCAAAGCCGCGTGTCGCTTTTCACGACACACTTTACGAGAACGGAATCGTAACCTTCAATGCAACAAGCCCCTAGCCAGCATATACTTACTATACTTTTACGTATGTAAAAAATTGACGCTCAATATTGCAAAAACATATTGAAAGGAAAGCCGAATAATAAATTATTATGGGAAAACTGAAAATGTTACCGATACATAGGTATTTTTGAAAATCATTGTCCGTTGCCTGGCCGTTATTTTGAGCCCTGTTCTTTTTGCTTAGTTAACTCAATTTTTAACAAGGTATTGAGTTAAGAGGTAAGGTATGATTGTCACACATTTCTTATTAATTTGCACTCAGGCGAATGAGATGTTAGTCGCTGGAAAAAAACTGACTGCGCTGCGGTCGAAGCTTGTAACTACGGTTTGGTAACAGAAGTTATTCCTCAAGCCGAGTTTGAAAAAGAAATTAACAACAGAATGAAATACATGGCTGCGTTGCCGCCGAAAGTAGCACAAATCTGGACTTTACAGTTATTGCTTGGTTTCATTTAACCATACAATGCTTCTCTCCATTGCACTCGCTTTCATTGTCCAAGAAATTATATCGCTCAGCTGAGCTGCAGAAACTTCACGATGTGAATAATAAAGAATGCGAAGTGCTTGCTCAAAAATGGCTTTCGGAGGAATGCGCGCAAGCAGTGATGACTTTTTTACAACGCAAATCAAAAATATATTTGAAAGATAAAGTTAATTCCTGTTTATGAAATCTTCGATGTATTTTCTTTCGGTGTATTTTATTCAGTTTGATAAAAACCATTTACACCAAAGTGAGCAATAGAGCTAGATGAACACGAACTTCATGAAGTTACTCTAAGATTGAACCCATTGGATGATGATGACAATTATGGCATTTCATTGTATGAACAAGTGCAAAATGTGTTATCAGAAATATTAGACAGACGGCAGTAAATAGTTTTTTTCTTTGCAACGATTGAATTATAACATAATAAGGTCAATCACTTCAGCAATATCAACACAAAACATAACTTATCATAGTAAAAAGTATGCAAATATTTAACTAATCCTGTTTGGAAACCAATTTAGCGAACATAACAAATCTTAGTTCCTTAACTTTTAACAAGAACAGTGCTAAAACAAGTCGAAATGTTTGAGTATCAAAGCAATGTCAAATTTTATAAAATCTGCATGAGTCAAATAGAGATCTTAGAAGAAGTTCCTCAAACATAGTTGGGTCTTCATGTCCTCTTGGTAGTGCAAGTGACATGGCACAAGTGGAAGAATATGGATACCTAGTTTGCCCATCTTCTTGATTACAAAATGTTATTGTTAAGGAATTTTCAAATCCAGTTGGTGGGATGGACTCTGAACCAGTCGTAAACTGTAACAAATGCTCAAAATGAACAATTATTGATTTTTCTTCAGTCTGGTGGAACATCTCATTGTCTAAAAAATAATGTATCGCTGCAACTGGGCAACTGATGCTAATGAAGACTTAAAAACAATTGTGACATAAACAAAATACACACCTTCAATTTTTTTCAAAAAGATTTCCCAACAATATATTGTTTCATCTTCTTTTATTCTGTTATTACTACCTTATGACTCCACTCAATTTCGCATATGGCTTTGAATGATTCTCTAGAAAATTTCTTTGGAATCTCTGTGAACAAATGTTTGAATTCATCAGAATGTATCTTGATTGTGTCCCAAAGACCTCCGACATCATTTATTCCCATTTTAAATTGCTCAATTTCAGAAAACACTCTACATAATATAACATAAAACATGCATTCTTTGACATTTAATACCTATAACCTGTAAAATATGTGCTGCTTAACCAGCGACTTCATAATGATATCCCTTTGCTCAAAGCTTGCAAAGTATATTGACGGATATCCTTGGCTGGCTATACTGTCAGCATTTTCTTTGACAAATGAAATGAACTCTTCTTGTGTTTCCAATTACTTCAGCTTAAGAATGTTTTAATGATTATCAGTTCTAGAAGTACTAAAGTGCATTGCTACTTGAAATGCAGGAATTTTAAGAGACAATATAAGACAACTTTACCTTTGAGAGCATAGCTGCTTTTTCATAATCTGGTATGAGTGAAACATCAAAGTCATTTACATCACATGGTGCTTCACACATTAAATCATACACAGTAGAATTAAGACATCCAAAGCCGGGGCCACCTTGCATCAATGAAATGCCAACCAAGCGACCTGCTAACCAATACTGCTTTTCTTGAAGAAGTTTCACATTGTGAGTAAAAATCAGATTACATCCATTGTATCCTTCAAAGAGACCTGAAGATTGAACGATTTCCTGCCTGGCTAGTCTAAAATAGGTACGCTCTTATTGTAAAGGCATAAAAAAATATTCATCCTAATATAGTCACTGCAACACAATGTCACCCACCAACGTGTTGTACAACACCTTACTCGATAACTATTGAATGAAATGGAATGCATTATTTGACCTGAAAAATTCTCTCCGTGGCACTCCAGCATCTATTGCATCTTCTCCACTGAACTGAATTATCAAATCTTCATAGCAATCAAACCTTTTTGATTTCATGGCAACAAATGCAGTTGCCAGAAGTTTGCTTCGCCTTACAATAATTTCATTTGGTGAATTGCTTTTCATACAAATGATGCTGTGCTGCTGTAACAGCTTCTTAACATCTATTTTTAATGGCCTGCTTTCTCTAAAATACATTAATTATCATTATATGATGAGAAAATAATGGTTAAAGCAAAGTTCAAAATATTAGCATCCTAAAAAATTGATCAACTTACAATCAACTTACATGTTTTGACTTTCTTCCAAAGAAACTTGAAGCGCATATTGCATGTCTTCCTCTTCTTTGTCATTCACTATTTCCGAATATTTGCCATACGATCTACTCCTGCAACAATAATGCTGAAAATTACCCTAAAATGTTACTATGATTTAGATGAAAACATGGCAAAAGCATCATTACATCATTCTATGACTTCTCTCACTAAAAACATGACTTCAACTCAATAGCAGCTACTTGAAAACAAAAATATAGAAACTGCTATAATAAATTACCCAGATGCTATGAAATGTGATTGAGCCAAAGATGTTTTCGAATCAATTTGCTCTTGTTTCCCATCATTATCTTCTTTGTCACAGTCTATGACTTCAATACGTGGAGGCATAGATTGCTTAACATCTGACTTTATGTCATTTTTCATTTCAAATGTTGGTGACATTAAGAAATCATCATCACTTGAGTCTTCACTTTTGTCAGCTCTCCATCCTTTTAAACCAGCACCTGGTACTGCCACCAGTGTTCTAAGATAAACTGGTCCCTGTTTGGAAATATGCTTCAAAAGTTTTCCCGTGAAAGGCCCATTATTTACTTTAACTATTTGATTGCCAATCGCTCGAACAAACTCAAAATTGTTTTCATGAGTAGTTAACCTAGCAAGTTTCTCTTTAAAAAGGCACGATATTTTACTCCTGACTTCATCCTCAGACATTTCATCATCGACTGCCACGGCTGACTCAGCAAAACCATTTGCATAAAGGTACTCCCTAAAACGACCTCGGGGCACAGTCTCCACCTGGGGACCTGGTAGTAAAATAAAGTCCTTGAGCAGGTACTTCAACTTTACTTCAGTTGGTTTTCTTTTTGTATGACTACATGATGAAGATGAAGAGGAGCCATATCGTTCAAAGCCTTTCTTTGGTACGTAGTTAGCTTTTGGATTATATCCATAAGTTAATTCACTTTGACGACTAGATGAAGCAGCACTTATGCTTGGAAATAAATTACCAAGAGCTTCCTCTGTTGATATTTTTGAATCTTCTTTGTTCATATTTTCTTCAACAGAAGGGTTTTCTTTTATGGCTTTAACCGCCTCGATTAGTTTGTCTATCATTTTGTCCGCCATCTTACAACTTACATCGAAATTCGACAACATGAAGTTTTACAAAAAATTACATGTGGCGTACTCGTTGAGTTCTATGATAACTGGAGCGGCTATCTCAAGCGCGGCCTTAGGGGCCGATTACATGGACCGAGTTGTCCCGGCAAGGTGAGTTGTCTCGGGCATCCGGGTTAGCTTTTTTCAAGCGATTACATGGACCGAGTTGTCCCGGCAGGGTTAGTTCTCTAGGATACTCGGGCTCCTGGCTCCGGGAGAGACTTTGAATTTCTTGCGGGAAAATATGGCGAACATTTTGTAAACAATGAATTTTTCGCATCACGATATTTGTTGGCCAAAATAATTCTAACTGCTTCATATTGTTTAACTTTGTCTGCATTGAAGTCTGAGTTTCTATACTCCATTTGAGATTTGTACTCAAGCAACCCTTCCAGTAAATCCTTAACCATTTCTCACGTCCATTGAAAGCGATTATCTATGTCGATCGTGGCAGATTTTTTAGATTTTTTCTTTTCTTTGCATTATCGTTTATAGAGCTTTCCGCCATTTTACAAATTTAAACTAAGTGCGCATGCTTCACACAATAGCTTTCAACTCGCTTACCCGGGGCAACTCGGGAAAAAGTGATTACATGAGCGAACGAGACAATTTTCATCCCGGATAACCGAGTTGTCCCGGCTTTCAACAGCCGATATCCCAGCAAAGCGAGTTGACTCGTTTCCCATGTAATCACAATGCTATTTTTAATAGTAAATATAAAAGAGGCCGCGGTATCGGTAAAATTGTCTCACCTCGGCTAACCGGGACAACTCGGTCCATGTAATCGGCCCCTTAGATATCTGATGACGCCAAAAAAATGGCGGATTTCGTCCGTTGCCGCTGAGATTGACTGAAATTGACCGCTTTTCCGAAAATTTCACAATTTCCCACTCCCTCCTGAGGAAAGAGTGAAGAAAATGTATGTGTGTATTTGGGATTTGGCAAGCAATTTTTTGATGAAAATCACGATAAAAACCTACAATTCCTAACAGCGAGTCAACCTAGCTTTCCAATTATCGGCTCCTACGAGGATGTATTTATAACTATCGACGAAAGAGCTATATGTCGGCTACACATCTATGAATGCAGATATGCGTCGTTTTCTTACCAGCGTCAAACTTGTTTGATCGATTAAACTCTTCAGTCTATACAAAAAAGTATATCATAGTTCATCTCCACAGTGGTTCACGAGAGAGAAGTTAGCTTATTTGTTATCATTGCTATTTTGCTTCTTTTCGTGGAAAGGCAATGGCTTTTTTCGCCACAATTGTAGGATTTTTACTTGTTTCTTTAAAAACGTAAATATTAAATCTCTGGATATTTACGGATTTTCTGTAATTGAGTTTCATATTAAATTTCAAAAAGACTCAAGTCTGCATAGGTTTGGTAAATGAAAACAAACAATATTGTATAGAAATTACTTTAAGTAACCTTTTGTGATGTTCTGAAGTGCAACTGCATCAAATACTTGTAAAGTTGTAGCACATTTTGATTTTGTTGTATTGATATATAAATTGGGCAAAATGCAAATAATCATCAAAACACTTATGCTTCCAATGGTGTTTATAATTCATTTTTAGTTTTAATACTTCTACCCTTCTTTTTCACTTTGTTTTGTTTTTCCTATATTTTCAATATAAGTGCACAATTTGAATGATTAACACAGTTTTCACTTCAATACTAAATTTCATAAGCAGTTGGTAGTGCATTTTGTTCTCTGAGTATCCACATTTGGTGTTTTCTTCATACATGAATGATGAAATGCATATGGATATGTCACAACAAGGCAATAAAACCAAATGAATTAAATACCTATAGTGTACTTTTATGCTAGAAGCTTAAAAGCTTTCTAGAAATTGTAAAGTTATTGGATTATATTACCTCTATATCATCAATCTCATGAAAAGAAATAAATGATCAAATTAAATAACTCTGGATCATGAACCATGATCAAATTAAATAACTCTGGATAAGGCAGACAATAAATCAATTATCTTTACAGCATTATCATTTCTTTAAGACTCTGCCTGGTCAATAACATCTTCCAGTCATCTTTACTCCTTGGTCTTCCCTGCATGTTGTCAGCAAATAGAACATAACAAGCTCTGCTCCAAATCATGGGTACTGTTGGGGCTGATCATTTCTTCTTGATACTTTTCACAGAGCAAAATGTGTGCAGGGTCTTTTTTGCTTTAGGGAAACTATTTTGCAAATAGATAGGTAAATTTACGATTTCATGCATTAACAAATGACAGAAAAGTATGCAGAATTTTATAGACAAAAACAGGAAAACATCAGTATATTTGGCGTTCAAGTCAGTCTTAAAAATACGATCTTTAATATGTATTTTATGGCTTTTCAAGTGCATGTATAATTGCTTTTCAATCGTTGACGGACTAACAAAACAAACAACTACCTCACCTGTGAGAAGCGATATGTACCTTTTTGTGGAAACTACGACATCCAACAATTGAACGATTGAAGTGTTGGCATTATAAAAGAAATGCCAAAAAAGAATCGTCACAGAAAATGGAACTAACGATATCCATATTCTGTGATATCGTGTTGGTTTTTGAAAAATTCTTTATAATTTACTATAGACACCAGGGGAGGTCGAGAATATTATTTTTCTGCAAAGCGATCATTTCAGCGGAAATACGTCCGTTGGCCGCCATTTTTTTGGCGACCTCGCCCCAGTAAAGTTAGCCGCTCCAGTTATTATAGAACTCAATGGGCGTACTGCAGGCAGCAATAAAGTATTAAACTTTTCAGAAGTACTATAATTTTATATCAAACATAGTAATAAATTTAAAATAGAAGTTTCATCTTTAGAAGAAGTATTTTTGTCTGTATCGGCGCGCCTTTCATTCGTGTCATTTCTAGATATGAATTTTCTTATTCGTCCAAAGTTCAATCAATAATAAAAAAATATTTATTGTAAATTTTATTATAGCAAATGAACGTGACGCCAAGAGTTTGTAAATCACATGCAATTTTTCGTCGTGGTATAGTGAACTATCTATCTCGACCTTATTTAAACCTGAACATTTTTACGAAGATGGTTCGAAGTTCTCTGCAATCTCTCACCAGTTTAAAGAAGCAAAAGACAAAGTAGGATCTTTAACTCAAGATCCAGGATATGAATTGAAGTTAAAGATGTACGCCCTTTTTAAGCAGGTATTTTACGATCCATAAAGATATTGTATCCGGTTTTTACATAAAGCTTGAACATTAGTTGTTGTATCTCCTAACTACAAGCTCTTCGATTAAATGGTGACTTTAAATTTTTAAGCACAATGTGCAACATTACATTAGTATCACATTTTTGGGAAGGCACAGTGAATTTTTTTCAATTATAACTGTTCACAGTCCCACCATACAATACAATCAAAGTTAAAAATAAGACGATTCCAAATAACAATATACATTTCCAGGGTTCTTTAGGCAAATGTAATACACCAAAGCCTGGGACTTTGGACTTTGTTGGAAAAACAAAATGGAATGCATGGAACGATTTGGGTGATTTATCACAGGTGAATATTTAGTTTAAGAAAGAATGCACTTATCTTATAATGAACATTCAATATGTATCTAGTTTCAAACATCACCAAAGGACTGTATCTTTCAACAATTTTATTGAACACTCTCACAAGTCTTACTAAAATCTATCGTCATCAAATTATTTACAGTAAAAAAGTTGTTTTGTGCAAAGTTGACAGCACACCGTTAATTAAGAACTGTGGAGGATGTGGAAAATGTGTTTAAATGCTTAAATTATAACATTTTGATGAAATGATGGAAATAAGACTAAATTCATTTTCAAGAGGGGAAGAATCCCTATTTTTATAAAAGTTCTTTTTATTGTGCAAAATATGTTCAAATGCATGAAGAATTATAGTCTTTTGATAAAAATATGGAAATATGATAAAATTCATTTTCAGAATGGTTGGAATCCCTGTTTTTGTAAAAGTTGTTTTTTAAGTGGAAAATGTGTTGAAATGCATTAATTATAATTTTATAGTGAAAATATGAAAATATTATAAAACTTATATTCAGGAGGGGGGATGGACTTAATTTTTTGTAAAAGTTGTTTTTTAAGTAGAAAATGTGTTCAAATGCATTAATTAGTCTTTTGGTGAAAATGTGGAAATATGATAACATTCATTTTCAGGGAATTGGAATCCCTACTTTCGTAAAAGTTGTTTTAAAGTGGAAAATGTGTTCAAATGCTTGAATTATAACATTTTGATGAAATAATGGAAATAAGACTAAATTCATTTTTAAGAGGGGAGAAATCCCTATTTTTATAAAAGTTTTTTCTATTGTGCAAAATGTGTTCAAATGCATGAATTATAGTCTTTTGATAAAAATATTGAAATGTGATAAAATTCATTTTCAGGGGGTTGGAATCCCTATTTTTGCAAAAGTTGTTTTTGTGGTGGAAAATGTGTTCAAATGCATGAATTATAGTCTTTTGGTGAAAATATGGAAATTTTATAAAATTCATTTTCGTGGGGGGTGGACGTGATTTTTTTGTAAAAAGTTCTTTTTCATGTGGAAAATGTGTTCAAATGCATGAATTGTAATTTTTTGATGAAATAATGGAAATAAGATTAAATTCATTTTCAAGGGGGTGGAGTCCCTTTTTAGTAAAAGTTGTTTTTTTAATTGGAAAATGTGTAGAAATGCATGAATTATAGTCTTTTGACGAAAATATGAAAATATTACAAAATTAATTTTCAAGGGGGTGGAATACCTACTTTTGTAAAAGTTGTTTTAAAGTTGAAAATGTGTTCAAAAGCAAGAATTATAATCTTGGTGAAATAATGGAATATGATAAAATTTATTTTCAGGGGGGATGGAGTGAATTTTTTGTAAGAAGTTCTTTTTGATGTGGAAAATGTGTTCAAATGCTTTCGTTCAAGACGAAACGTCAATTTCATTTTGGCTTGGTCAAAGTAAGTTTTTTTATTGTCACATTAATATACATAATTTTCGTCGATAATATGAAAAAACATTTTTAACTAAGCGCTTCTGACATCACTACGCACGGTCTCATTATAATATGAAATCTGACCACGACACACTTTACGAGAACGGAGTCGATACCTTCAATGCAACAAGCCCCTAGCCAGCATATAATTACTAGAGAAAGCATGGCTTATACGTATGTAAACAATTGACGCTCAACATTGAAAAAGCAAATTGAAAGCAAAAACGAATAATAAATTATTATGGGAAAACTGAAAATGTTACCGATACATAGGTATTTTTGAAATCATTGTCCGTTGCCTGACCGTTATTTTGAGCACTGTTCTTCTTGTTTAATTAACTCAATTATTAACAAGGTATCGTTATCTTAATGCAGTTAAGAGTTAAGGTATGGTTTTAACACATTTCGTATTAGATTGCACTCAGGCGAATGAGATGTTACTCGTTGGAAAAAAACTGACTGCAGTCGAAGCGTGTAACTACGGTTTGGTAACAGAAGTTATTCCTCAAGCCGAGTTTAAAAAGAAATTAACAACAGAATGAAATACATGGCTGCGTTGCCGCCGAAGGTAGCACAAATCTGGACTTTAAAGTTATAGCTTCGCTTCATTTAAGCATACAATGCTTCTCTCCACTGCAGTCGCTCTCAATGTCGAAGAAATTATGTCGCTCAGCTGAGCTGGAGAAACTTCATGATGAGAGTAATATAGAATGCGAACTGATTGCTCAAAGATGGGTCTGGAGGAATGCGCGCAAGCAGTGATGAATTTTTAAAACGAAAATAAAAAATGTAGTTGAAACATTAAGTTGATTTTTGTTGATGAAATGTTCCATGCATTTTCTTTCTGTGTATGTTATTCAGTTTAATAAAAACCATTTTCACCAAAGTGTTAAGCGTACAAAAGCATCTGCGCAAACATCTACTTGATGTCACGTGACAACATGTTAATTAATGGCAATTATTTTTTAACAACTGCATCATTTTTCAACAATTGCGCACGAAAGAAGGTTGTTGCGACTAAGAAGTCCGTTACGCCAGCAGTAAACACTGAAGTCTCAATGACTTGAACGATACAGAACGAGTGTTCGAAATTTTCCAGCAAAGTTTTTTGCTATGTTTTGGAACTTGATTCAAAACGCAATTTTTTCCTCAAAGTAAAGATTTTAAAATCGTGGTTAAATGAACGAATATGTTTTGTTATTCAACTCAAGTTACGAATGATTTACACCAACAACGCTACAAATTCCGCTGCGTAAAGGTTACAAACGGATCATTGGGGACACAATATCCTATTTGTACAATAAATATTTGCACGCGCCATAAGTCTGATCGTAAAAATACCTTGATGGTAAATCATTCCTGTAAGCTCGTCCACCATCTTCTTACGATGCCATCCAAAATATCATCGTTGCTGATGTACTTTTGAAACAAATCGCATTCCTCGTGATTTTTATCCTCAAGTTCTTGTATATTACTGTTGACCATCAACGTCTGTTTCTCGAAGGCACTACAATATTAAATATGCTGCTTTACTATTTGCTGACATGGATTTTTTAAAAGTTCAAAACTGTAAATGTTTTCATCATCTGCGACGTGAACGTCCATGAATAAAAATAGAAATTTATTGCATTTTCAAAGGTCCCGTGTCCCCTCTCCCTCTAGTTGCTAAGCTTCGCCCACCCCCTCCCTTTCCTTCTGCTTTCCAATAGTGTTCAATCCCTCTCCCTCGTAAAAATAGACACACAAACCTGTCTAGAAACTAGTGAAAATCTCGCAAAAAGTGAATTGAGTTCCTTCTCGAAATGTTTGAAAGACAAAAGTTCTGCAATAATTCCGCGTTTCCTTTGCCATGTCGCAGTCGAGTTTCGTGTTGCATAGAATAACAGACATTACCCCATTTAAAGGAAATTCACCGTAAGACAAAATGAATTTTTCTTAAAGCATCTCGGTTCTTTTATAAAAACAACAATTATGTTTCACGATACACTTTCTTTGAGGCGAGGTAGGGATAGGGAGTAAAGCATTTTGTGGGAACTTAAATAAAGCTATTCGTAGTTTTATTAACTTTTCAATCTCACAGTTAATTTTTAACACCTCAGAACATAACACATCCTCTCAGGTTCAAGAAAAGAAAACATTTTAATGTTTATATAAAGTGATCAATAGGCGTGGATACAACTCAAATACCTAACGATTCAAAATATGACCTTGTGCACAGGCCTCTGTTTAATATAAACAAGTCACATGTGCCTGTGAATGATTAAATAAATAAGGTAAAGATAGAGAGCAACATCCAACTGGAGGATGACCCCACTCCACAAACTTCGTTTGAAAAGTTGCCTTTGAAAACACGACGAATATGTAAACTGAAATAAAAATTACGTAATGTTGTACTGAGGAGTCACTGGGGGTGAACAAAGTACTCAATTATATTAAGGAGTGTCGGTAAAGAGGGAAGTATGGGGGTAAAGGAAACTGAACCCGTCAAGGTTTAATATCGCCCCGTTACCAAATAAGCTTTCTCACTTTGGGGATTTTCGTCTGAATGTATTATTGACGTGTTTATTGCATTCATTGGCGAAGTAAATTGACCAATGAAAAACGACTCAATAAATGTTTGACATATGATATTAAAGAAAGTTTGGCTGTTTTCAAAATTATATCAATTCCTTTCTTTTTTCCACAAAACTCTCAAAAATGACTTAAATGTTAGTGACGTGACGGTATGCGCAAAAATCTCTTTTGAGACAATCACTATTTTCCATATTAAATATAACTCTGAAATTAAACACTTGAAAACACAGATGAAGTCAGACCAGCTAGGATGAATAATTTTACTAACTCAATACATTACCTTTTCTGAAGCAAAGACTATATCAGACAGTGCGATCAGAGAAAGACCAAATCCAGCTGTTGGACCGTTTACCGAAGCGATCAAAGGTTTAGGACACGTGAGAAGAAGTCGTAGGTCGTATTTACTGCAAGTCTACACCACAATTTGAACAATCTGTACCTCTATGCAATTAACAGCATAAATGTGCCATTCAATAAACAAACCAAAAATCAGTACGATCAATAAAAACCATTGAGATTTTCACAAGGACAATAGAGATAAATCAAGAGGCATATAATCATTTATCACAAAACCTTTTCTATTGTTGATGTTGGCTATAACCAAACTTTTTCCATCTTCTTTTGTAGCTACTTCCTTTCTTTATATACGCAACTTTGAGCAAGGCGAAAGGGACCACTTCAATACCCCAGTTCTATCATCACATAAAGAATGTTTAGTGCAGAGTTGATCTTCTGCGAGTACCAGTTGATCACCTTCAGGTGGGCTCATATAATAATAGGGCCCGTCATCATTATACGAACAAACAACTGGCATCCACAAAGAATCCAAACTACAAAAAAACATTCTTGGCCATGAATCACCATGACACATGAACAATGAAAAACTAGTAAGAGTAATTGAAGTGAATGACAGAGGTGGTAAAGGGACTTTTACAACTCTATCCATGTGGGATCTACAATATGAGAAAATATGAAATAATGATATGCAAAGTAAAATTAATTTATCATGAAATCTCATGCATTTCTTTCATATTATATTACATTGACTCCCAAAGACTATAGTTCCTGCACTTAACACCAGGGTGCGAATTAACGGTGTGCAATGTGCAATTTGCACATCGTTTTGGCTAAAATGAAAATAATTGCACATCACTTTTTCAAACGATGTGCAAAAAAGGTTTTTCATTAATTACTATCACATATATTGAAAAAAAAAGTTTTTAAAATCTTAGGCCATGTAATTGGCCATGTTGAAACAATGTCATCAAATTGAAAAACGTCGTCACTTTGAGACTGGAAAGTCTGTCAACAGTCGACATACTGGTTGACATACATGGTTCTTCTGACCATATACGGATGTAATTCATTTACAAATATTAATTTTTGCATTGCGCTGTTTTGTAGTTTGTGCATCATTACTTTTTTTGGCATCATAGCTATTTTGAGTGTTTTCGATAAAATCAGGAGACATTTTCCTTCTGATTCCTAAAAAAACCTTTAAAATTTTCAAATTTGAAAAATAAGCCAAAAAGATTTTTGGGAGCGAAACCAAACTGGCAACCTTGATTAACCGTATTTTTTGCTTTTACGCATAGTTTGTAATATGACAAAAATATTTTTTGTTATAAGTAAGCATCAATAAAACATATTAGATAATCAGAAGACAAAAGTAGCTATATGCGGTGCATGTTTCTCTTGTCGCTTTTGTTTTTCTTGCCATGATGGCTTCTTCGTCGAAAGGTTGTACTAGCAAAATTAACACAGTAGAAAAATGGATAGAAACATTAAATGCCGACTGGCTTGAATACGAGAATGATGGCCAAGTGGTGAATTCACTGCGCTGTAAAGTTTGTGGAAACAAAGAGGCAGAATAACAAGCGCAAAAAATTTCTCTCGCACATTCATAACAGGATCAGCTGTTGTAAAGAAAAACGCAGTGGTGAATCATATGAATTCTGAGTTGCCTTTCAAAAAGTATATCCCCATTTGCAAGCTCCTGGAGAAGGGAGGCGTTGATCTAGTTTAATCGTATCGAACAGACCGATCAGCCGCTGAGTTGTCAGATCACATTTCTGGGGTCATAAAAGGAAATCTTGATGAAGATTTAAAGGTATTTAAAGATATTTGTCAGTTTTGTGCGATGGCAGCACCGATACCAGTGTAAAATCACAATAATTATTTTACGTGTTATATGTGAATAAGAACGGTCATAGTACTTGCTAATTGATGTCAGTTGAAACAGTTGAAAACGAAGATGCTTCAGGACTGAAGGAAGCTATGAACGAAGCTTTTGCCCGTTTTGGCATTACAAACTTTGAATCGAAACTAGCTGCAACTGGTCTAGATGGGGCAAGTTTTAATATGGGGAGAAATACTGGTTTAGAAGCTCGTCTAAAAGAAGTCCTTGGCTCACTGTCGTCCACTGCTTCAATCACCGTCTAGAATTTGCTGCTGCCGACGCATTCAATGCTACGTTTTTGCACAAGTAGATGAAATAATGCGTCAACTGTTTTCTCTGTACCAGAAGTCACCGAAGAAACTGAGAGCTGAAAAACTAGCTGAAGTGTATGGAGAAACTGTCTATAAGCCCATCAAAGCAAGTGGGACAAGGTGGATAGATCACAAAGTGCGCGCCACGAAGGTTTTCCTGGAGAACTACGGCATGTATATGCAGCATCTTGAACAGGTAAAAATGGCTAATTTTCCAACTTTTGCTGTTTTCCATCAAATTTGCATCGCCTCCTTAAATTTTCTAGAATAAAGTTTGCCTGTAATAACAGTAATAAGCATTTTATTAAATTATTTAATGTCATGTAATATGTTACTTTTGTTTCTTATGTAGGCCGCAACTACTTCACCTGATGCCCAAAAGCAGAAGATAAATGGATTCCTAGCTAAATGGAAAGACGCTCGTTTCCCAATGTATGCTTCTATCTTTGTGGACATTATTGGTCCTTTGCGTGTTTTGTCTCTTGGACTACAAACTGACGACAATGATCCAGTTAAAGCTTTAAGGAGAATCAAGGAATTTGACTGGACTATGGTCAAGCTTCAAGGTAGTACATTTGGCAAAGCTACTTTCGATAAATTTAGGAAGGATTGCAAACCTACTGGTGACGACAAGAACCAGATTTCGTATCAAGGTGTTGTGCTCACAAATTATCCCCGTGCACTAAATGGAGCTGCGGGACAACGACAAGAGTGGATAGATGCGATTATCCTCTGTTTGGGCAATCGCTTTAGTGATCTTCAAGAGACACCAGTTTACAAACACCTTTGTCCAATTATAGACACCCAGTCTTGGCCAGGTGAGGAAGTTAATTTGGTGAGCTATGGAGACGAATCGGTTACGCTACTTGTCGACCACTTCATTCAGCTTTTGAAGCATAACGTATGCGATGTGTCGAACGATACGATGCTGACAGAAGAGTGGAGTGGGCTTAAGTTGTTGATTTCAGAGACGTATGGCAGAGCTATACCATACTTAGATGATTGGGCTGCCATTCTCTCTTCACCAGTTAGTAAGGAAAAGTTTTTAAGCGTTCTTAACATTGTGGAACTGTTATTAATTACGCCCATCTCTAATGCTGTGGTTGAGCGAATGTTCTCAACAATGGCCAAAATAAAGCCACACCTACGTAACAGAATGTCAAGAGGAAGATTGGACAGTCAGCGAATTAGTGAGGGTCCATCAGTGGAAGAGTATGATCGAGCTCCCGCAATAGAGCGGTGGTATGAACAAAAGAAACGAAGGATTGGATATGGAGGCCATGCTTACCCAGAGAAGCGAAAGAAGAAAGTCGATACGTCAGAGGCATCAAGCTGCAGCAAACATTCTTATTTTTCGGACCAATACTAGTCAGAAAGTAACTAGTCGTGTACTATAACATGATAACTTGTAAAAATGTATACGTTGATAAAATGTTATAAAAATATTACGTTCTAAAAATGTTAATTTAGTAAATAGTGCAGTATAATAATTACTGTAATATCATTTGATTATGCCTCTAGAGAAAAATTTTTGTCGAAAAAATTTGCACATCGTTTTTTCTCAACTAATTCGCACCCTGCTTAACACCATAAGACTAGAGTTCATGAACATAACTCCTGACTGTTATGGTCTATGCCCCTAAATCACAAATATTATAATGAAACCACCTAACTCACTAACACTATACTTCCTGCACCTAACTCATAAACACTATAATTCACACAATTAGCTTGCAAACACTATATTTCATGCACATCACACTCAAAAACTAGAGTTTATGCACTAACTCCAAAGATTACATTTCACACACCTAAGTACCAATAATTAAATACAATAGATTTTTATGAGATGACCTTCATCACAATACCTTTTTTAAACGTATTCCTGACGCTAGCAAACGTAAAAATCAAGTTGTTGGTGAATATATCTGCTAAATATGATTGAAGAAAAACATCGAGCCAAGAATCATCTAAAGATATAGAAACATAACATAAATTTACCACATCGCTTTCATTAAAAATGGCTTCTTCACCAAACTTCAAGAAACGAATTGTGACCTTGGCGAAATATAAATAGCGTTATGTTGCAAAGGAAGCAAAACGAGAAATGTCCGACGTCAATATATCTCACATTCCAAATTTACTTTACACGTTTTTCTGCCAAAGCTGTGAGTCGCTCTTTGTTGTCTTCATCTCATCTAGCAAGCATTAATTATAATTTTGAAAACAGCAATTCTTGGTTTTCATGTGTGTCTCAAGGGAATAACAAACAAAGAAAGGGCATCCACCATGTCGCCTAAGAGCAAAGGGAATCCAATGATATTATTTTGTAAGGAGTCCATCAGCATGACGCATATGAAAACCACCAATACTTTCCATAAACTAACAAATTCACAGTTTGAAAACGGATCGCTTTCTTCTATGCCAATTGCATGTTAAAAGTTCATTGCCAATGGCTGCTTCATCAAACTAAATATAAAAAGTGTTATGTTTAAAGGAAGCAAAATGAGACATGTGGGAAGTCATTATCTCACAGTCCAAATTTACTTTAATTTATAGATATGATGCGAACTGTAGAGACGACGACACTTTTCACTTTATTATAAAACACATGTAATATAGACAAAAGAAACAGCCACCATGACGTTGCTGCAAAACTGCAACGTCAATTTAAATTTATTGCAAAACCAATCATATTCATTACACTAGTTTGAATTCATAAAAAAAATTTAAATTTTCGATCCGTGCCACGCCTTAACAGCTTTCTCTAATCTTCCAAGTAGACTTTTTATTAAGCATTGATATGTGGTTAATCTCTTTTACCGCGAATTTTGTTGTGGATGGACAACTTTTCGCATTAGACAGAATATTTCACAATAAAAAAACCGTCTGTGAAAAACTATACTTTTAAAATTGTAGTTGTTCATTCCCTTTTATGCAAGAGAAACCGCAAGTTATTAGTAGCCTTACAGATCTTCTTTCTCAATCAGTAAACCATAAATTTTCTTTTACTGCTCAAGAATCTTTTAAAAAGGTGTGCGAACAGCAAGCAGTTTTAGATTATGTTTTAATTAAGCCATGAAAACCGCATGAAATCTTTGTGACGATCTATAAACATCTTCACACGTTTCTCAAGATCACATTCAGTTTCAGTTCAAAATTTATATTTTTCTCGTTATTATAAAGCATCTTGTAAGTTGCGCTATTCATAACAGATTAGCTTTCCGCTAATAAATAAGTAATAATGAGCAAAGTACATACAACATGTGGCTTTCAGCTTCGTAAACATTATTCTTCGTTTGTGGCGTTGACAAAACTACAACGAGAATTTCTTGTTTTAAAGTAATATTATTACTCTATAAATCTATTTATTGAGGCTTAAATAATCGCAATGATTGTACTACCTTGAAGCAATTGAATGAAAATTGATGAGAGACTTGCGGCTTCTTGCGAGATGCGTCCCCTTGCTGCAGAGTATTTGTCCTTTGTTGCATATTTCAAATGGTTTTGAATAAACGGAACTTTTAATGAACTGAACCAGCAGCCGGTGGAAATGTCGAAGAAAATCTTCCACCAATAAATACATACAATAGAATTTTATGAGATGACTTTTATCACAATATCTTTTTAGACGTATTCCTGACGCTAGCAAACGTGAAAATCAAGTTGTTGGTGATTATATCTGCTAAATATGATTGAAGAAAAACATCGAGCCAAGAATCATCTAAAGATATAGAAACATAACATAAACTTACCACATCGCTTTCAATTTCATTGATAATGGCTTCTTCACCAAAATTCAACGAACGAATTTTGACCTTGCCTAAATGTAAAGGAGTAATGTTACAAAGAAGCAAAACGAGAAATGTCCGACGTCAATATAACTCACATTCCAAATATACTTTCCAAGTTTTCAGCGAAAGCCGCGTGTCGCTCTTTCTTGTCTTCATCTTATCAGGCGAACATTAATAATAGTTTTGAAAACAGCAATTCTTGGTTTTCATGTGTGTCTTAAGGGAATAACAAACAAAGAAAGGGCATCCACCAATAATTAAATACAATAGATTTTTATGCTTTGCGTAACGAGGATTTCAATATTATAGTGAGACCATGCGTAGTGATGTCAGAAGCGCTTAGTTAAAATGTTTTTCACATTATTGACGAAAATTATGTATATTAATGTGACGATACAAAAACTGACTTTGACCAAGCCAAAATGAAATTGACCTTTCGTCTTGAACGAAAACATTTCGGCCGTTATTTTGAGAACCAAAGAATGGGTCGAGGACGTTTGTTATATGAATTTTTAAATTGACGGCATTCATGCTGTGATGATGAAAAGAGTTTTGAATTTAAACGAGGATGTTAAAGGAGGAGGTTAATGGTGTTAGGAGGATGTTAAACAAGAAACCAACTTTCGTCCAGCATCAATATGACAGGGTTAATTGAAAGTGGACTGGGACAGATAGTAGATGTGACGTCCTTTGCATAACCCATGATCTTTGGAAAGAGGTACGAACATTGAGCTCTATAATAACTGGAGGGGAAACGTCAACCAAATTACTATAAATTATTAGCGCGCGGCCGCGTGGTCAAAAACATGGCGGATTTTGGTTGTCAAAGTCAGCGGAAAGACGCGGGCTCATAAAATGAAATTTTTTTCGCCCACCCGGATTTGACAACCACAATTGCGATTATATAAAATTTCAATGCGAAGCACAAAAACTTTTAGAAATTTTATTTTTAAAACATGCTGCAAACTTGTTTGGTGTACGGATGCTGAAGTAATGCCAGAAAAGAAAACATTTCATGACACCGGTGAGCAACGTAAGATTGTTTACCATTTAAAGTGTTCAGTGTTTTGTTTTAAGTCAATACTTGAAGTGTGATGGTATATATTTTGTGAATGTTTTTACTTCTAAGTTATAATTTAAGTTATGTATATCCAGTCTTATTTGTTCTTTACTTAATCGCTTGCTAGACGAGGCAAAGCAACCAATTCTTATCGAGATACGCATGTCTTAAAACTCCTTGTTTCAACTGACTTTACCTCCAAGAAATAGAGGATTTTTTCATGATATTTTTCTGAAAACATGAAGCAAATATTAAGAACAGAGCTGTATTGAAATCAAATGCAGTGCAGGATTAATTAATGAACTTTTTGGTGCATGTCGTACAATAAAAAATACCTGTATTAAACAGCTAGCCTGGACAATTTGACAGATTATGAACAATCATGATGATGGTGTTTAAGGGTTTGCTTTATGCTAAAAGTTTTATAAATGCCATCGGGTGTTTCTGTAAGTGAATTGTTTGTTATAGTAAACAGGTTAGTACATCAAAATCAAGATAAAAACTACTTTGTTCAATAATATGCCAAATTATGCTCCTACCTTGAAATATTTGCTCAAGAAAAGCTAATGATGACATGCATGAAACATTAAATATAGTACTGCATCATCTGTCAAAATCCATACGTTTTTCAATTTCAGGTGATTAAAATTCACATAAGATGCATTGGTTGCAATGAAGTTGAATGTGTAAGAAGCAAAAATTGATGGCATAGAACTTTTTATGTCTTTTGAAGAATTACGATATCATTTAAACGATATCATTTAGTAGCAATGTAGTAAAAGAAGTGATATCTGTCTTCAACATGAGACTTTTCTAATTATGTATAGTTTCTTTGTACAAAATACTATTTTAGAAAACTTGATTTTTAAGTCATTCACTGATATTTTTTACCAAAAGACAAAAAGAAAAATTCAAAGGCATAATGTAAAATTCAAAAGTTTGTCAAGTTGTTTGAACCTAGAAAAAATTAGTATAGGTACTAGTAATTTGTAAGGACACAAGAGAAAATAGTGCAAGAAGGTTAGCATTTTTGAGAATTAATATGTTCTTCTTGACATACATTACACAAGGCCATAATATTATAAATAATGACTGTACAATAACAATTATACAACATGCTAAAAATCTTCACCTACATTATAATTATTTAAACAGGTTTGTCTTCATGCAGCAATAAGAAAAGTGTTATGTCAGAGAAACCAATGCACTTTAATTTAAGAAATCATATTTTCAATGGGAAATTAATGTAGTTCTGTTCAGTAGTAGATCCATGGTTGTCAATGACAATCCAGTTTCTAATATCTTGGCTCAAAACAGAACCAGCAACATGATTATAGAATTTCTGAATTTCGTTCTTTTGCTCTCCTAGTTCAAGATATTTTCTTCATAAGTTCTCAGTAGATTTATCAAAACATCATAATACCTTATAAGACACCCAGAATCAATCCTACCAAAAAAAACTAAAAAAAAATTTCATACCTACTTATAATATATTTCCAGTCGACTTAAGTCGTAGGGGTAAGCTAACTTTTTCTAACTCCTTTTTGGACGTTTTAACTAAGATTTACCCATCTATTCAGGAAAGACAGTTGCACCAAGCTGTTATCAAACAGTCAAAAACACAAGTATTTTGCATGGGATTATGCATTAAAGCTTAACAACACATTGAAAGTGTAAAGAATGCCGTTTGATATTTATTTCTAAAGCATTACTTGAAAAATATACGTTATTTTACAGTAGATTTACCTCATTTAAATGTGTGTGTCTATTTCACAAAAACCTGTAGCATTATTTTCAATATTTTATGCTTACGCTATCGTGGTTGTTTTCGCTGGTTGTCATTGATATAAGCAGTAATAGAGATCCGGATTCGGGAGGGAGCGAATGTTAAAAATTTTTCTCAAAGTGGAAGTTTTGACAACCAAAATCTGCCATTACCGCCATGTTTTTGACCACGGGGTCCAGGCCCCTTTTCCCCTCCAGTTATTATAGAACTCAATGGGTACGAAGAGCAAGCTTCAGGACTTTGCCCTAACGTCATCACTGATCTGATAATAGACTGGATATAGCTTCTATAGGTAGCAAAAGTGAAGCCTAATTATATATTAGGCGTGGTGATTAAATTATCTCTGTAAAATAAAAACGGAAATGAAAATAAGAATAAAGTGAGGAAGAAAGCTTAGTAAATTTGTCTTGTTCTAAAACAACAGTACCCTGCTAATGAAGTCACGGCAAAAGTAACATACGTCTAGATAATAAAAAATGATAAAAGAAAGGTACAAAACGAATTTTTTAAGCATCGAAACTCATTCTAGATCATAACTGCCTCTGAACTTGGAAAATGAGCTGTGAATTATCTTGCCTTCGCAACGATGGGGCAAATTCGATTCTTGCACGCGCAATTTTCAATTGAACACGAACGCCGATATTTTGTTTTATCCATGACAGATGTTTGAGATAAGTAAAAGGTCACGAAATGCCTTAAATATTCGAAAATCTATGTATATAAAGTTATCCGCCATACATTTCTATAGAAATTTGTATCTCTTGTGGTACCGGAAGTGCATTTTGCATATATAATTAGGCTTCACTTTTGCTACCTATAGAAGCTATATCAAGTCTATTATCAGATCAGTGAACGTCATAAAGGGTGTGTGAAATGTCGCAACATCAGAAGCATATACGATATCAATTAGACCAAGTATTGTCACAGATATTCCAACTGCTGGTCCATTGACTGCAGCCACGATGGGTTTTGGGAAGTCGATAAAAGTTGCAACAAATTCTCTAAAATTATGAAGGGGAGACATGTTGATGAACTTTCATGTGAAACAGGTTAATCTTTGTTGCTTTTCACCTCAATATTTCTTTACTATCAGCAGCAAGTTTTTCTGGACCTTCAGGAGGAATGTTCATAAAGTTAGTGAGATCATTGCCACTACAGAAATATTTTCCAGCTCCTGTTATTAATGTCACAACCGAATTATCATCTCTTGCTTGCTTTAGTGCGACAATCAACTCATTGTACATCTGTCAATATATAAATTGAATTAGAATGACTGGCAATGGTTAAAATAATTGACTAGTTATACAGTGGTGGCCTATTGAATGGGTATGACTGGTAATGGTTAGAGATAAACCTTTGAATAAATGGCTGGTCATGGTTAGAAGAGGTGCTCTATTGAATGGTATGACTGGTAATGGTTAGAGACAAACCACTGAATAAATGGCTGGTTATGGTTAGAAAAGGTAGTCTATTGAATGGGTATGACTGGTAGTCTATTGAATGGGTATGAAAGGTAGTCTATTGAATGGGTATGACTGCACTCAGGCGAATGAGATGTTACTCGTTGGAAAAGAAACTGACTGCGGTCGAAGCTTGTAACTACGGTTTGGTAACAGAAGTTATTCCTCAAGCCGAAATTGAAAAAGAAATCAACAACAGAATGAAATACATGGCTGCGTTGCCGCCGAAGGTAGCACAAATCTGGACTTTACCGTTATTGCTTCGTTTCATTTAACCATACAATGCTTCTCTCCATTGCAGTCGCTCTCATTGTCCAAGAAATTATGTTGCTCAGTTGAGCCGGAGAAACTTCACGATGTGAATAATAAAGAATGCGAAGTGCTTGCTCAAAAATGGCTAAGTCCGATCGCAAGTATACCTGGATGGTAAGCCATTCCTGTAAGCTCGTCCACCATCTTCTTACGATGCAATGTTGTTGATGTACTTTTGAAACAAATCGCGTTCCTCGTGATTTTTATCCTCAAGTTCTTGTATATTACCGTTGACCATCAACGTCTGTTTCTCGAAGGCACTACAATATTAAATATGCTGCTTTACTATTTGCTGACATGGGATTTTTTCAAAGTTCGAAACTGTAAATGTTTTCATCATCTTCGACGTGAACGTCCATGAATAACAATAGAAATCTATTGCATTTTCAAAGGTCCCGTGTCCTCTCTCTAGTTGCTAAGCTCCGCCCACCCCCTTCCTCTCCTTTCCAATAGTGCCCAATCTCTCCCTCGTAAAAATAGACACACAAACCTGTCTAGAAACTAGTGAAGATCTCGCCAAAAGTGAATTGAGCTCCTCCTCGAAATGTTTGAAAGATAAAATTTCTGCGACAATTCCGCGTTCCTTTGCCATGTCGCAGTCGAGTTTCGTGTTGCATAGAATAACAGACATTGCCTGATTTAAAGGAAATTCACCGTAAGACAAAATGAATTTTTTTTAAAGCATCTCGGTTCTTTTATAAAAACAACAATTATGTTTCACGATACACTTTTTTAAGGCGGGGAAGGGGTAGGGATAGGGATTAAAGCATTTTGGGGAACTTAGATAAAGCTATTCGTAGTTTTAATTACTTTTCAATCTCACAGTTAATTTTAACACCTCAGAACATAACACATCCTCTCAGGTTCAAGAAAAGAAAACATTTTAATGTTTATATAAAGTGATCAATAGGCGTGGATACAACTCAAATACATAACATGGCAAAATATGACCTAGTGCCCAGGCCTCCGTTTAATATAAACAAGTCACGTGTACCTGTGAATGACCAAATAAATTAGGTACAGTTAGAGAGCAACATCCAACTGGAGGATGACCCAACTCCACAAACTTCGTTTGAAAAGTTGCCTTTAAAAAACACGACGAATATGTCAACTGAAATAAAAATTACGTAATGTTGTACTGAGGAGTCACTAGGAGTCACTAAGGAGTCACTAAGATCAGTTCTTACCAAACTGGAAACATTGGTCTATAAACAAGAAGAAGCGTTATGAATACGTTCCGCTTTCGCGCATGTATATTTACTTTTCATAATTGGAAAGGTCGTCGTTTAATTAGATTCGTGCTCAGTTACAATTGGTTTTTCTATGAAATTAGATTGTCCCCGCTATATAATTTGAATTAGAATTTTAGCAAATTGTGAAGTTGTTTCAAAGTAGTTTGCCACCTACTTCGAACTGCTGAGCACAAAGTAATTTTGCTAACTCGCAATGACTGTTCATGCGTCTATTTCTATAATACTATAGTTCATGCGACTTAAACGATCTCATGACACCGTTGAAATAAATGAAATGGTAATCGAGTTCCATCGGTTCTAATCGCTAATAAAGCGCTCGCAAGAAAAATGTTTCGTTTGATCATAGTGTGTGTGTGTCATCGTGGGGTAACTTCATATGCTGAAAAGACAGTTAAATTTTCCATGCACCTAACTCCCAAAGACTATAGCTAATGTGTCTATTTCACAAAGACTTTAGTTCATGCACCTAAAGGCTATAAAATCTATATATATGTATATTGTTCGTGCATCTTAACAATATAGTTCATGTACCTAACTCCCAAAGACTATAGTTCACAAACTTAACTTTCAAAGAATATCTTTCACACCCAACTTCAAAGACTAAACTCCCAAAATTCTTCTTCATGCACCTAAACTCGGAACGACTATAGTTCATACACCTAACTCCCAAAGACTATATTTCACGCACGTAACTCGCAAAGACTATAAGATCATGCGTCTATTTCCCAAAGAGTTTAGTTCATGCAACTAACACCAAAGAAAATAGTTAATGTATCTAATTACCAAAGACTATAGTTCATGCACCTTACTCCGAAGGACTATAGTTCATGAAAGAGCTCCCAAAGACTATAGTTCATGCACCTAACATCCAAAGACTATAGTTAAAGCACTTAAATTCCAAAACTTATATTTCACGCACCTAAATCTCAAAGATTGTTCATGCGTTTATTTCCCACTTATTGAACTCACTTGATTGGTGAATTGTATTTTCCCATGTTTTCAAAAACTTTCTTAAAGGTCGTACATTCCAATTCTTGTTCTTAATTCCAGGATCACATACATATGAACTATTGACCAGACAAAATCATGATATCTAATTACAATGTGACATCACTCTTCACATCCATACCATTAGACATAGCCAAACAACACAACTAGACAAATAAAATCCTAGACTTACTCAACCTTTGCCTCTCCACTGAATTCTTCTTCTAAAACTCATACTATAGACAACTTTCAGCGAATCAATGGGGTCACCACTATACACCTTCCTCGCAAAAGCTGTCGTGCAAAACCTCGAAACACAATCAGTCACCAACAGCACAGATGAAACAGACAGACTATGGAATAGATATAAAGACGATATCTTTGCCATAGTCAAGAAAGCCAAAACTGGACAAATGCTACACACCATAAAAATACTACAAAGAAGATAACCTTCACTAAAGACAAAAAAACACAACAAGACTAAACAAACAAGTATACGGCATAAATACCCTTACAGACCAAATACTTGATTTCAACCGTAATCATTCCACACAACACAAAATAAGCAACATTCGAACACTTTTCAACAGAATTAACACTCACTGCAGCACAGAAGAAGCCAAAAAACAGAACGCAACTACTTGTTCTCATTTATAAAAACTAGTTACCCTATAGAAACTTTATAGACGAAACTATAAGCAAAATCAGTCAGAACTTTACTACTAACGGACACCTCCCGAAAGCAGACACTGCTATTAGGTCCCTGCCAATACTCTTACTATTAACTTATTTACAACCTCTCATAAGCAGACACCAAAACAATCTTCAAACAATTCTGTAGTGTTTATGGTGTTTCGAAAGTTCACTTTAGGGTGGTCATGGGAGAAAAAATTTACATGAGTTTAATATTTACTGAGGAAATTACCATACACCAGCTATGGTCAAATGGCAATTTTGCACAAATTAACAAATATTCGTGGCAGAGATTGAATTTTTATATTTTCGTTGTTTCAAGAAATTTACATTGTTTTTGCTGGCATACGATAGAACATATTTCGCATACCTTCCTCCTAAACCCACTTTCCGTCATATTTTGCCGTTTAGTGTGCATTTCATAGCCGAATCTTATAACTTAGATATTTCATACAGGGACAATCCTTCACCATTGATAAGTGTCGTCGCTTTTGTGCTCGATAAATCCCGCTTCGAAAAAAATATAGATATGACGATATATTTTCGGATATTTTTGGGGTTTTTTTGTAGTGTTGTTCGCAATGATTCATAAATAGATCAAATTGAACCTTAGCCGACAATTACCGCACGTGTGATTGGGTCAAGATTGTCTGTCTAATACATTGTATACAGAACCATTTAAAAACCGCTATAAAGCTATTAAAACCAACAAAACACAATTAAAAACTATGTATAATAACTATATATATCGTAACAACGAATATTTTCATATTTTTTCGATATTTTCGGTACATCGATATATCGATATACCGAAAAAACCAATATCGATAAACCGATATTTAAAAAAACCCCGATATTTATCGATAATTCGATATGTCGCAACAGCCTACCTCGCAAGAGCCTTTATCGTCGTAAACATGCTTGGACTCATTCATGTTTTCAGTGGTTGACGAGTCCTCATCCAAAACTCTCGAGCGTATGCTAGGTGCTTCAACTACGTTCAATTTCATCAAGCTATCTTCAACCTGGCGTCGTTGTTTCTCTTCTGCCATGCTTGATTTTGCTTCAATGTTGGAAGTTTCATTTTCAAGCAGTTCTTCTACCTCGATCTACGAATTATAATATCTGTCATAAATATTAAAGCAGTTTATTTATGTAGAAAATATGCAGACACAAAGTTATGAAGAGAAATAAAAACATCTTTAACATTGTCACGGATATTACGAGGGGCATAACAAAGTGTTGATGGGTTTGACTAATTCTACGTTTATAAGAAACTTTTAAACAATTCTAACCCTAACCTTAACACTTACACTAACCATAATCTAACCCTGACACTAATCCATACCCTAACCATTGAACCAATGTATGAACTGTAGTCAATTGTAGTCACATCATAAAGCCTACTTCCTATTGTTTTTGGAGTTCAATGTGCATTCTAATCTTTCGTTTCAAATCCGCATTTTATTCTTGTAATCTTGTAGCCCATATTCTTGCAAGCAATTCTCAAATGGATATTCACAAATGGAGACTCGACAAGATATGTTAATTTTTTTTCACCAAACAAAAAATTTGTCACAGTCTGTTACGGGTCTTGCAGCTGACATATGAAATGTTTGTAAGTGTGGCAGGAAAATTACATTTATATAGCTACTCTTTGTTTTGCTATGTTAAGCATCCCACAATAACAAGAAAACGAATGAGGAATTGGTCACATTTATCACTAAAAATAGTAAAATTCTAGAGCTCCAGTACGAATAGCAAATGACTGTCAAAACGAGGGACGATCTTGGCCCACTGCGATAATATTTTACCAAATGAAGGGGAATGCCACAAAACATGTCCATTTGGACATATTATACAAGTGCACATGTGTCAACTAACCCTGGTTTAACCAAGGTTTGCGTTAAATACGACGCTTTATATTTTTCATCGCTGTAGTATGAACTACTTTGTTGATAAATATATAGTAATTCTGCGAGTAAAATATCTTTACCTTCCTCTGCACAACAAAGTTTTTCTTGTATCAACGCACACAGCCTCCTACTAGCTCAAGAAACAAGCCAAAATATGAAAGAGAAGCGATCTCGTTTGAGTGAAAACTTGATGGTAAAAAGTTGAAAAGTTGCTGATGGTTATCGCCATAAATTACCAATGAAAGAATTTACCACCACGATAAAATCAATATTACCACCACTGATAAAGTATTAGTGACCAATGCCGCCAGTTTGCCAGTGACCAGTGGCATGTACGCGTACCTATTTTTCTATAATTGCGTTGCATCATGGGATTTACATTCAAATTTATTTTTGTGAGTAAATTCATTTTATCTTTACCATAAAAATGTTGTTTTACTTCAAAAATCTGCGCTTGTCAGACTTCGTGAGCTGACTAAATCTCGCAAGCGTTCGATCACGGCCATGACCGATTTTTCACCGAGTACTTTGTTGTCACGTGTTCTGACGTTGACCGTGTATGAGACCGTCTCTTTTTCACCAACAACTGTTTAAAAAACAACATAAAACCATTTAACCAATCGCATTTAGTAATAAAATGAACATCTATTTTGCTTTTTAAAATAGACAACACTTAAAAAGACAATGAACACAAAACAAACAAACACAAACAACAAACAATCCAACAACAGCAAACGATAATACCTTACATTTTACAACTCGCACATCAACTGACTACCAAGAACAACGAGTACTGACAAGTGAGCATCACAATGCACAACATTACAAACAGCCTTGACTATAGACAACGACTTACGTTAGAAAGTAGGTTAACAAACTCAAAACAAAAATCATTGAACAGAATACAAATATCAGCACCTTGTAAACGGCTTACAAGCGAACAATTAATAAGTATACCACACAAACTAAAACATCCACATATTTTCCTCTCTGTCATGACGTCTAGAGAACAAATACGGCGAACCTGACTAATGTTGTGGAAACGTCAGTAAACTCTGAACACCAACAGTGGTTCCAAACCATTTTAATTTCTATTTATTTGTACAGTAAATAAAAATAATTTAAAAGACTTATTCATACCAAGAATGAAGTTGTACTGTGAAAGTTGTGCATTGCGAACTTTCTTATTTAGTGTTGATCCGTGATCCAAGTCTGTATCAACACGATAACCAGCTGCATGGAACTTCTTTTGAATCTAAACATGACCAAAATGTCAATAAAAAAAAAAGGACAAAAAAATTCCAATTCATAAAATAGCAACAATTTGTCCATAGCTGAGTTTGCATTAGCCTGTGCAAGTTCGATCTAAGGCTTACCAAATTAAATTTACCGGTTCGGCATAATCATCATATTTACTACTGACAGGAATTACTACAACTTGATGGGGAGAAAGCCATAAAATCCTAGAAAATAACAGAAAATGCAGTGCGTCAAAATTTTGAAATAAAGTAGTAGAGTAAAATGATAAAAATTTCCAAACAATTAAGAAACTTTGTATCATTTTAATTTAACATTTAAGGACATTTCATTTGCTTTAAGCTCTGGCATGAGCCAAGAAAACACTCACCATTTTCCACCAAAGCTTTCAGCAAGAATAGCAATCATTTTTCAACTGAACCTACAATAGCTCGATGAATAATAACAGGATGTAATTTTATATCTCCTTCACCACTGTCAATAGAGTAATAGAATATTGATAAATTACTAAATTGTTACAATTTGTAAAGATCTACAATTTCATGGAAACTTAAACTGTGCCGTAATCCTCTGACTATAATACACAGGCTTACATATGTTTGTGAGCCATTATCAATGATATTTACATGGGGGGGATGGATGCACAGGGATACATGCATGGACTATTAACTATTATATTGCAATTATCTGTTAACATTGCAATATTAAATGTAACTATATACTTATATGCGGGTGGGTTTGTTTTTGGGCAGTTTGAATGCAGGTGGGACTTTCAGTGTTCAGCAATGTAGCAGGCTGCATATAAGTATATAGTATATATAAGCATATAAATATATAACAATAGGTTTCTATAGAAACAAATAATCATGTCACTGTTGGTTAAATAAATTAAGTATCAAGACCGTGGTGAGGTTATTCAACGAAAAGCTTACTGGCAAAACTTACCTAGCGTGAGGTTGAATCTCTCAGGAAGTTGGAAATCCAGTTCAATTGTTGCACATTGATGAGACCATCTCATAGCATCAAAAATTTTTATATTAATCTATAAATTGTGATAGCAATGAAATTATAAATTCACAATGGTATACATCTGTAAACATAGAAAGCTTCATCCCCATCCCAGGATTTATCTGCGTTTTTGACCAAAATTATTCAAAGCTTCCATCAGTTTCTAATGAAGCATAAAACAAACTCATTTAGTTAAACAATTAAAAATATTATCAATCATTAAACATTTTCGATATTTATGACAAGACAGCTAAAAAACATTGTAAAGACTGCATTTATGTTCGCTGTGAACAAATTTCCTCCCTTTTTGGGAGGTAAACAAACCAATCTGTATGTCAAATCAACAAATGAAAACATTCTATATTTTATTTCATTCTTGAATAACTGTCTATATCTTTGATATCCATAAAGAGGAATTGCACACGATGAAACAAATGTAACTTGATTAAATAGTTCAATGGTTTCAACCATTGAGTTGTAATGTTTGAAATGTTCAAGGTTAGAAGCCATCTTGATTTCAGCAAGGAGACTGAAACGAGTTAATATTTTAGTTGCAATATTAACAAATACTAAATAAAATCAATTACAAGAAAACAAAAACAATGATGAACCAAAATTGTTAAAGAACATATTTTAAGTAAAACGACTCATGCAAGGTAACTCAAATGTTCAACTTATGATGGTGAAAATATATAAAAACATGGAGATAAAATAAAGCATGACAATCAATAGATCTTCACTTAGGTAATAATAGCTGCAGATCCAAATTTATAAACAGTGTGTGAAGCACTGACTAAAACATTTTGGCAATCAAATGCACTTGAAAGCCCTGGCAGGTTAGCTAAAGTCCTCGGTGCTACAAGTCTTGTGACTTTTACTACAAAATCTCCCTCGGCTTTCAAGTACATTTAATCACTAAGTTACCTCACTACCGTGCATCGTTTTACTTATAAAAATATTGCACACGCTAGCTAAAATGTAGATCCCATTAACTACATACATGTATGGTCTTATATGAGCCAGTTTTAAATACTCAAAGAATATTTAGGCAATCAGAGAGTAAAATATTTTTACCTTACTCTGAACAAAACAGTTTTTCTTGTGAGTCTTTTTATCGCAGGGATACGTCGGTATAAAATTCTTATCACCAAAATGTTTCAAATTCCAAATTGGTGAAGTGTTGACTGTGTAGTAAGCTGGTCGATACAACTCATACGCAACGCATCGATTTGCTGTTTAAAATCATGATAGAACTCATGCAGATAGATTGGTTTCACATAGCCAGAATAACAACCAATAACTGTTAGCTTCCAGAACAATTCAGTGAATTCACCACAAATGTCAGTCTGCTACGTGAAGATAGTTCTCTTGCATATGCCTCAAGTCTTTTTACGCTTCCGAATTGCATCCTTGAACGCCTTATTTTATACAGTTCAGCCAACATTTACCTATTCTTGCCATAAAATGATTAAGTGTGCTCCAAGTTGACTGAAAATAAAATTGTTCAGCATACGCCATTTTGAAAGCATGTCTATAATTATCCACTATCATCCATTGTAACCATTATTCTATAATATCTCAATGATTCATATCAACACCTAATGTCATTGGTCAAAAATAGTCACATTTTTATTTACTTTGCCTTTCATTCATGTCATTTCTAGATATGAATTTTCTTATTCGTCCATAGTTCAATCAATAATAAAATATTTATTGTAAATTTTATTATAGCAAATGAACGTGACGCCAAGTTTGTAAATTACATGCAATTTTTCGTCGTGGTATAGTGAACTATCTATCTCGACCTTATTTAAACCTGAACATTTTTTATAGTCGTTATGCATCAATGCATTAATTATAGTCGTTTGATGAAAATATGGAAATATGATAAAATTCTTTTTAAGGGGTGCTCGATTTTTCTAAAAGTTCTTTTGGATGTGGAAAATGTGTTCAAATGCATGAATTATAGTCTTTTGGTAAAATAATGGAACTAAGATTAAATTCATTTTCAGGGGGTGGAATCTATTTCTATAAAAGTTCTTTTTGTTGTGGAAAATGTGTTCAAATGCATGAATTATAGTCTTTTGGTGAAAGTATGGAAATATTATAAAATTCATTTTCAGGGGGTGGACTCGATTATTTTGTCAAAGTTCTTTTTGATGTGGAAAATGTGTTCAAATACATGAATTATAGTCTTTTGGTGAAATTATGGAAATATTATAAAATTCATTTTCAGGGGGGGTGGAATCCTCATTTTCTAAAAGTTGTTTTAAAGTGGAAAATGTGTTGGAATGCATTAATTATAGTGTTTTCGTGAAAGGTCAATTTCATTTTGGCTTGGTCAAAGTCAGTTTTTGTATCGTCACATTAATATACATAATTTTCGTCGATAATATGAAAAAACATTTTTAACTAAGCGCTTCCGACATCACTACGCACGGTCTCATTATAATATTGAAATCCTCATTACCCAAAGCTGACCACGACACACTTTACGAGAACGGAATCGTAACCTTCAATGCAACAAGCCCCTAGCCAGCATATACTTACTAGAGAAAGCATGGTTTTTACGTATGTAAAAAATTGACGCTCAATATTGCAAAAACATATTGAAAGGAAAGCCGAATAATAAATTATTATGGGAAAACTGAAAATGTTACCGATACATAGGTATTTTTGAAAATCATTGTCCGTTGCCTGGCCGTTATTTTGAGCCCTGTTCTTTTTGCTTAGTTAACTCAATTTTTAACAAGGTATTGTTATCTTAATGCAGTTAAGAGGTAAGGTATGATTGTCACATTTCTTATTAATTTGCACTCAGGCGAATGAGATGTTACTCGTTGGAAAAGAAACTGACTGCGGTCGAAGCTTGTAACTACGGTTTGGTAACAGAAGTTATTCCTCAAGCCGAAATTGAAAGAAATTAACAACAGAATGAAATACATGGCTGCGTTGCCGCCGAAGGTAGCACAAATCTGGACTTTACCGTTATTGCTTCGTTTCATTTAACCATACAATGCTTCTCTCCATTGCAGTCGCTCATTGTCCAAGAAATTATGTTGCTCAGTTGAGCTGGAGAAACTTCACGATGTGAATAATAAAGAATGCGAAGTGCTTGCTCAAAATGGCTCTCGGAGGAATGCGCAAGCAGTGATGACTTTTACAACGCAAATCAAAATGTAGTTGAAACATTAAGTTGATTCTTGTTTATGAAATGTTCGATGCATTTTCTTTCTGTGTATGTTATTCAGTTTGATAAAACCATTTCCACCAAAGTGTTAAGCGTACAAAGCATCTGCGCAAACATCTACTTGATGTCACGTGACAACATGTTAATTAATGACACTTATTTTTAAACAACTGCATCAATTTTCAACAAATGCGCAAGAAAATAAGGTTATCGCGACTAAGAAGTCCGTTACGCCAGCAGTAAACACTGAAGTCTCAATGACTTGAACGATACAGAACGAGTGTTCGAAATTTTCCAGCAAAAGTTTTTGCTATGTTTTGGAACTTGATTCAAAACGCAATTTTTCCTCCAAGTAAAGATTTTAAAATCGTGGTTAAATGAACGAATATGTTTTGTTATTCAACTCAAGTTACGAATGATTTACACCAACAACGCTACAAATTCCGCTGCGTAAAGGTTACAAACGGATCATTGGGGACACAATATCCTATATGTACAACAAATATTTGCACGCTATAAGTCCGATCGCGTATACCTGGATGGTAAGCCATTCCTGTAAGCTCGTCCACCATCTTCTTACGATGCCATGTTGCTGATGTACTTTTGAAACAAATCGCGTTCCTCGTGATTTTTATCCTCAAGTTCTTGTATATTACCGTTGACCATCAACGTCTGTTTCTCGAAGGCACTACAATATTAAATATGCTGCTTTACTATTTGCTGACATGGGATTTTTCAAAGTTCGAAACTGTAAATGTTTTCATCATCTTCGACGTGAACGTCCATGAATAACAATAGAAATCTATTGCATTTTCAAAGGTCCGTGTCCTCTCTCTAGTTGCTAAGCTCCGCCACCCCTCCTCTCCTTTCCAATAGTGCCCAATCTCTCTCCTCGTAAAATAGACACACAAACCTGTCTAGAAACTAGTGAAGATCTCGCCAAAAGTGAATTGAGCTCCTCCTCGAAATGTTTGAAAGATAAAATTTCTGCGACAATTCCGCGTTCCTTTGCCATGTCGCAGTCGAGTTTCGTGTTGCATAGAATAACAGACATTGCCTGACTTAAAGGAAATTCACCGTAAGACAAAATGAATTTTTTTTAAAGCATCTCGGTTCTTTTATAAAAACAACAATTATGTTTCACGATACACTTTTTTAAGGCGGGGGGGTTGGGGTAGGGATAGGGAGTAAAGCATTTTGGGGAACTTAGATAAAGCTATTCGTAGTTTCAATTACTTTTCAATCTCACAGTTAATTTTTAACACCTCAGAACATAACACATCCTCTCAGATTCAAGAAAAGAAAACATTTTAATGTTTATATAAAGTGATCAATAGGCGTGGATACAACTCAAATACATAACATGGCAAAATATGACCTAGTGCCCAGGCCTCCGTTTAATATAAACAAGTCACGTGTACCTGTGAATGACCAAATAAATTAGGTACAGTTAGAGCAACATCCAACTGGAGGATGACCCAACTCCACAAACTTCGTTTGAAAAGTTGCCTTTAAAAAACACGACGAATATGTCAACTGAAATAAAAATTACGTAATGTTGTACTGAGGAGTCACTAGGAGTCACTAAGATCAGTTCTTACCAAACTGGAAACATTGGTCTATAAACAAGAAGAAGCGTTATGAATACGTTCCGCTTTCGCGCATGTATATTTACTTTTCATAATGGAAGGTCGTCGTTTAATTAGATTCGTGCTCAGTTACAATTGGTTTTCTATGAAATTAGATTGTCCCCGCTATATAATTTGAATTAGAATTTTAGCAAATTGTGAAGTTGTTTCAAAGTAGTTTGCCACCTACTTCGAACTGCTGAGCACAAAGTAATTTTGCTAACTCGCAATGACTGTTCATGCGTCTATTTCTATAATACTATAGTTCATGCGACTTAAACGATCTCATGACACCGTTGAAATAAATGAAATGGTAATCGAGTTCCATCGGTTCTAATCGCTAACAAAGCGCTCGCAAGAAAAATGTTTCGTTTGATCATAGTGTGTGTGTGTCATCGTGGGGGTTACTTCATATGCTGAAAAGACAGTTAAATTTTCCAAGCACCTAACTCCCAAAGACTATAGCTAATGTGTCTATCTCACAAAGACTTTAATTCATGCACCTAAAGGCTATAAAATCTATATAACTATATTGTTCGTGCATCTTAACAATATAGTTCATGTACCTAACTCCCAAAGACTATAGTTCACAAACTTAACTTTCAAAGAATATCTTTCACACACCCAACTTCAAAGACTAAACTCCCAAAAATTCTTCTTCATGCACCTAAACTCGGAACGACTATAGTTCATACACCTAACTCCCAAAGACTATATTTCACGCACGTAACTACCAAAGACTATAAGATCATGCGTCTATTTCCCAAAGAGTTTAGTTCATGCAACTAACACCAAAGAAAATAGTTAATGTATCTAATTACCAAAGACTATAGTTCATGCACCTTACTCCGAAGGACTATAGTTCATGAAAGAGCTCCCAAAGACTATAGTTCATGCACCTAACATCCAAAGACTATAGTTAAAGCACTTAAATTCCAAAACTTATATTTCACGCACCTAAATCTCAAAGATTGTTCATGCGTTTATTTCCCACTTATTGAACTCACTTGATTGGTGAATTGTATTTTCCCATGTTTTCAAAACTTTCTTAAAGGTCGTACATTCCAATTCTTGTTCTTAATTCCAGGATCACATACATATGAACTATTGACCAGACAAAATCATGATATCTAATTACAATGTGACATCACTCTTCACATCCATACCATTAGACATAGCCAAACAACACAACTAGACAAATAAAATCCTAGACTTACTCAACCTTTGCCTCTCCACTGAATTCTTCTTCTAAAACTCATACTATAGACAACTTTCAGCGAATCAATGGGGTCACCACTATACACCTTCCTCGCAAAAGCTGTCGTGCAAAACCTCGAAACACAATCAGTCACCAACAGCACAGATGAAACAGACAGACTATGGAATAGATATAAAGACGATATCTTTGCCATAGTCAAGAAAGCAAAACTGGACAAATGCTACACACCATAAAAATACTACAAAGAAGATAACCTTCACTAAAGACAAAAAACACAAGACTAAACAAACAAGTATACGGCATAAATACCCTTACAGACCAAATACTTGATTTCAACCGTAATCATTCCACAACACAAAATAAGCAACATTCGAACACTTTTCAACAGAATTAACACTCACTGCAGCACAGAAGAAGCCAAAAAACAGAACGCAACTACTTGTTCTCATTTATAAAAACTAGTTACCCTATAGAAACTTTATAGACGAAACTATAAGCAAAATCAGTCAGAACTTTACTACTAACGGACACCTCGAAAGCAGACACTGCTATTAGGTCCCTGCCAATACTCTTACTATTAACTTATTTACAACCTCTCATAAGCAGACACCAAAACAATCTTCAAACAATTCTGTAGTGTTTATGGTGTTTCGAAAGTTCACTTTAGGGGTGGTCATGGGAGAAAAAATTTACATGAGTTTAATATTTACTGAGGAAATTACCATACACCAGCTATGGTCAAATGGCAATTTGCACAAATTAACAAATATTCGTGGCAGAGATTGAATTTTTATATTTTCGTTGTTTCAAAAATTTACATTGTTTTTGCTGGCATACGATAGAACATATTTCGCATACCTTCCTCCTAAACCCACTTTCCGTCATATTTTGCCGTTTAGTGTGCATTTCAGCCGAATCTTATAACTTAGATATTTCATACAGGGACAATCCTTCACCATTGATAAGTGTCGTCGCTTTTGTGCTCGATAAATCCCGCTTCGAAAAATATAGATATGACGATATATTTTCGGATATTTTGGGGGTTTTAGTGTTGTTCGCAATGATTCATAAATAGATCAAATTGAACCTTAGCCGACAATTACCCGCACGTGTGATTGGGTCAAGATTGTCTGTCTAATACATTGTATACAGAACCATTTAAAAACCGCTATAAAGCTATTAAAACCAACAAAACACAATTAAAAACTATGTATAATAACTATATATATCGTAACAACGAATATTTTCATATTTTTTCGATATTTTCGGTACATCGATATATCGATATACCGAAAAAAACAATATCGATAAACCGATATTTAAAAAGCCCCCGATATTTATCGATAATTCGATATGTCGCAACAGCCTACCTCGCAAGAGCCTTTATCGTCGTAAACATGCTTGGACTCATTCATGTTTTCGGTGGTTGACGAGTCCTCATCCAAAACTCTCGAGCGTATGCTAGGTGCTTCAACTACGTTCAATTTCATCAAGCTATCTTCAACCTGGCGTCGTTGTTTCTCTTCTGCCATGCTTGATTTTGCTTCAATGTTGGAAGTTTCATTTTCAAGCAGTTCTTCTACCTCGATCTACGAATTATAATATCTGTCATAAATATTAAAGCAGTTTATTTATGTAGAAAATATGCAGACACAAAGTTATGAAGAGAATAAAACATCTTTAACATTGTCACGGATATTACGAGGGGCATAACAAAGTGTTGATGAGTTTGACTAATTCTACGTTTATAAGAAACTTTTAAACAATTCTAACCTAACCTTAACACTTACACTAACCATAATCTAACCCTGACCCTAATCCATACCTAACCATTGAACCAATGTATGAACTGTAGTCAATTGTAGTCACATTATACCTACTTCCTATTGTTTTTGGAGTTCAATGTGCATTCTAATCTTTCGTTTCAAATCCGCATTCTATTCTTGTAATCTTGTAGCCCATATTCTTGCAAGCATTTCTCAAATGGATATTCACAAATGGAGACTCGACAAGATATGTTAATTTTTTTTCACCAAACAAAAAATTTGTCACAGTCTGTTACGGGTCTTGCAGCTGACATATGAAATGTTTGTAAGTGTGGCAGGAAAATTACATTTATATAGCTACTCTTTGTTTTGCTATGTTAAGCATCACACAATAACAAGAAAACGAATGAGGAATTGGTCACACTTACCACTAAAAACAGTAAAATTCTAGAGCTCCAGTACGAATAGCAAATGACTGTCAAAACGAGGGACGATCTTGGCCCTGCGATAATATTTTACCAAATGAAGGGGAATTCCACAAAACATGTCCATTTGGACATATTATACAAGTGCACATGTGTCAACTAACCCTGGTTTAACCAAGGTTTGCGTTAAATACGACGCTTTATATTTTTCATCGCTGTAGTATGAACTACTTTGTTGATAAATATATAGTAATTCTGCAGTAAAATATCTTTACCTTCCTCTGCACAACAAAGTTTTTCTTGTATCAACGCACACAGCCTCCTACTAGCTCAAGAAACAAGCCAAAATATGAAGAGAGCGATCTCGTTTGAGTGAAAACTTGATGGTAAAAGTTGAAAAGTTGCTGATGGTTATCGCCATAAATTACCAATGGAATTTACCACCACGATAAAATCAATATTACCACCACTGATAAAGTATTAGTGACCAATGCCGCCAGTTTGCCAGTGACCAGTGGCATGTACGCGTACCTATTTTCTATAATTGCGACGCATCATGGGATTTACATTCAAATTTATTTTTGTGAGTAAATTCATTTTATCTTTACCATAAAATGTTGTTTTACTTCAAAATCTTCGCTTGTCAGACTTCGTGAGCTGACTAAATCTCGCAAGCGTTCGATCACGGCCATGACCGATTTTTCACCGAGTACTTTGTTGTCACGTGTTCTGACGTTGACCGTGTCTGAGACCGTCTCTTTTTCACCAACTGTTTAAAAACAACATAAAACCATTTAACCAATCGCATTTAGTAATAAAATGAACATCTATTTTGCTTTTAAAATAGACAACACTAAAAAGACAATGAACACAAAACAAACAAACACAAACAAACAATCCAACAACAGCAAACGATAATACCTTACATTTTACAACTCGCACATCAACTGACTACCAAGAACAACGAGTACTGACAAGTGAGCATCACAATGCACAACATTACAAACAGCACTGACTATAGACAACGACTTACGTTAGAAAGTAGGTTAACAAACTCAAAACAAAAATCATTGAACAGAATACAAATATCAGCACCTTATAAACGGCTTACAAGCGAACAATTAATAAGTATACCACACAAACTAAAACATCCACATATTTTCCTCTCTGTCATGACGTCTAGAGAACAAATACGGCGAACCTGACTAATGTTGTGGAAACGTCAGTAAACTCTGAACACCAACAGTGGTTCCAAACCATTTTAATTTCTATTTATTTGTACAGTAAATAAAAATAATTTAAAAGACTTATTCATACCAAGAATGAAGTTGTACTGTGAAAGTTGTGCATTGCGAACTTTCTTATTTAGTGTTGATCCGTGATCCAAGTCTGTATCAACACGATAACCAGCTGCATGGAACTTCTTTTGAATCTAAACATGACCAAAATGTCAATAAAAAAAAAAGGACAAAAAAATTCCAATTCATAAAATAGCAACAATTTGTCCATAGCTGAGTTTGCATTAGCCTGTGCAAGTTCGATCTAAGGCTTACCAAATTAAATTTACCGGTTCGGCATAATCATCATATTTACTACTGACAGGAATTACTACAACTTGATGGGGAGAAAGCCATAAAATCCTAGAAAATAACAGAAAATGCAGTGCGTCAAAATTTTGAAATAAAGTAAAGTAGAGTAAAATGATAAAAATTTCCAAACAATTAAGAAACTTTGTATCATTTTAATTTAACATTTTAAGGACATTTCATTTGCTTTAAGCTCTGGCATGAGCCAAGAAAACACTCACCATTTTCCACCAAAGCTTTCAGCAAGAATAGCAATCATTTTTCAACTGAACCTACAATAGCTCGATGAATAATAACAGGATGTAATTTTATATCTCCTTCACCACTGTCAATAGAGTAATAGAATATTGATAAATTACTAAATTGTTACAATTTGTAAAGATCTACAATTTCATGGAAACTTAAACTGTGCCGTAATCCTCTGACTATAATACACAGGCTTACATATGTTTGTGAGCCATTATCAATGATTTACATGGGGATGGATGCACAGGGATACATCATGGAATTAACTATTATATTGCAATTATCTGTTAACATTGCAATATTAAATGTAACTATATACTATATCTGAGGTGGGTTTGTTTCTTGGTGAGTTTGAATGCAGGTGGGACTTTCAGTGTTCAGCAATGTAGCAGGCTGCATATAAGTATATAGTATATATAAGCATATAAATATATAACAATAGGTTTCTATAGAAACAAATAATCATGTCACTGTTGGTTAAATAAATTAAGTATCAAGACCGTGGTGAGGTTATTCAAGAAAGCTTACTGGCAAAACTTACCTAGCGTGAGGTTGAATCTCTCAGGAAGTTGGAAATCCAGTTCAATTGTTGCACATTGATGAGACCATCTCATAGCATCAAAATTTTTATATTAATCTATAAATTGTGATAGCAATGAAATTATAAATTCACAATGGTATACATCTGTAAACATAGAAAGCTTCATCCCCCATCCCCAGGATTTATCTGCCGTTTTTGACCAAAATTATTCAAAGCTTCCATCAGTTTCTAATGAAGCATAAAACAAACTCATTTAGTTAAACAATTAAAAATATTATCAATCATTAAACATTTTCGATATTTATGACAAGACAGCTAAAAAACATTGTAAAGACTGCATTTATGTTCGCTGTGAACAAATTTCCTCCCTTTTTTGGGAGGTAAACAAACCAATCTGTATGTCAAATCAACAAATGAAAACATTCTATATTTTATTTCATTCTTGAATAACTGTCTATATCTTTGATATCCATAAAGAGGAACCACGATGAAACAAATGTAACTTGATTAAATAGTTCAATGGTTTCAACCATTGAGTTGTAATGTTTGAAATGTTCAAGGTTAGAAGCCATCTTGATTTCAGCAAGCGGAGACTGAACCGAGTTAATATTTTAGTTGCAATATTAACAAATACTAAATAAAATCAATTACAAGAAAACAAAAACAATGATGAACCAAAATTGTTAAAGAACATATTTTAAGTAAAAACGACTCATGCAAGGTAACTCAAATGTTCAACTTATGATGGTGAATAAAAAAAACATGGAGATAAAATAAAGCATGACAATCAATAGATCTTCACTTAGGTAATAATAGCTGCAGATCCAAATTTATAAACAGTGTGTGAAGCACTGACTAAAACATTTTGGCAATCAAATTCACTTGAATATCCTGGCAGGTTAGCTAAAGTCCCTCGGTGCTACAAGTCTTGTGACTTTTACTACAAAATCTCCCTCGGCTTTCAAGTACATTTAATCACTAAGTTACCTCACTACCGTGCATCGTTTTACTTATAAAAATATTGCACACGCTAGCTAAAATGTAGATCCCATTAACTACATACATGTATGGTCTTATATGAGCCAGTTTTAAATACTCAAAGAATATTTAGGCAATCAGAGAGTAAAATATTTTTACCTTACTTTGAACAAAACAGTTTTTCTTGTGAGTCTTTTTATCGCAGGGATACGTCGGTATAAAATTCTTATCACCAAAATGTTTCAAATTCCAAATTGGTGAAGTGTTGACTGTGTAGTAAGCTGGTCGATACAACTCATACGCAACGCATCGATTTGCTGTTTAAAATCATGATAGAACTCATGCAGATAGATTGGTTTCACATAGCCAGAATAACAACCAATAACTGTTAGCTTCCAGAACAATTCAGTGAATTCACCACAAATGTCAGTCTGCTACGAAGATAGTTCTCTTGCATATGCCTCAAGTCTTTTTACGCTTCGAATTGCATCCTTGAACGCCTTATTTTATACAGTTCAGCCAACATTTACCTATTCTTGCCATAAAATGATTAAGTGTGCTCAAGTTGACTGAAAATAAAATTGTTCAGCATACGCCATTTTGAAAGCATGTCTATAATTATCCACTATCATCCATTGTAACCACTATCAACATCCTAATGTCATTGGTCAAAAATAGTCACATTTTTATTTACTTTTGCCTTTCATTCATGTCATTTCTAGATATGAATTTTCTTATTCGTCCATAGTTCAATCAATAATAAAAAAATATTTATTGTAAATTTTATTATAGCAAATGAACGTGACGCCAAGAGTTTGTAAATTACATGCAATTTTTCGTCGTGGTATAGTGAACTATCTATCTCGACCTTATTTAAACCCAGTGAACTCTACAACAACTGGAAGGCTAATTGGACGCCATCTTTGAAGCCTGCATGAGCGCCGCCATTGAAGGTACGAGGCGAAATTGCCGAATTTTTGCAAAAACAGTGGTCTTCAAGCCAGCTTAATGTCTAAAAATCTTAAACAATGTTTGGAGATTGTTTTATCATTTATTGTACGAACATTTTACTTGTTAAAACTTACATATTACTTGAAGTCGTTTGAGAAGTTCCTTTCTCTTAAATTTATTCTTAAGTTTATCATACATTACATTACAGATGTAAATTTTTTGGGTCTAAGGACATGAGAGTAGAAAACATTGAGGTGTAAAATAATCTCTAAACATGAAAGATGCCGCTACTATACTGGGAAATGCCAGTAAATTTGATGATCAATTTTCACATGTTTTATACTTGTTGCGAGTATGTCATTTTGTACGTTTTATGTAAATTTTCGTGAATTAAAAATACTGTGAAAAGTCCCAAATGGATTGCCAGCTGATGAAAAAATCATTTTACACCTTAATGATTTCTTCCTCTAAATTGTTTTCATCAGTTACCATGTTGGGGCAAAATTCCATACAGTGAAAAGAATTTCTGCTAATTTTATGCTTTGCTGAGCTTCGACACTCTCATGTACTCTCCCAACATGGCTTATTTGACGTCAGAAGAAAACACTATAGCTACGGTTGAATGAAAACAGCCCAAACATCATTAAATATTTGTTAAAATTGCGTATATATTATTACGAAACAGCGATTTTGTGCACGTTATGATGACAAATTTCCATATTGCATTGCGTATTTCGAAAAACATTTATCAAACGCTGACACTTGCTGGCATGGTGACCATGTTTAATTTAAATACATATGCATATTTTAAGCTGACAGTCGTTTCAAAACTACCGATGGATGTTATTTATTCATCACGGCATAAATGCTTTTCAAACAACATTATTATTCTAAAATCATTACTTAATAGAAATTTGTACAACATTATTCCAAAATAGGTGGCAGGCCTACTTTGAAATACTTTACCACAAAATTCGTTTTCTAAGTCAGAGAGCAGGGAACTCTCTGACTTAGTAAGAATACGCCGATTCAACAGAGTATATATGCTCTCTCAAAATCCAAGATTTCTTAAAATCTAAAAGATAGCCAAAGAACAAATTAGCGACACAATAAAACAAACACATAAACCTGAAAAAGACTGAAGTCACTAAGCTACAAGTCAGTGAAACAAATAAAAAATTTTTATACCTCATCTTGTTTTCATCTTGTTTTCCATCAGCATGCTTCCCGTCTCTCCGTCAGCATCCTCTTCGTCGCTCCATCAGCATCCTCTTCGTCGCTCCATCAGCATCTCTTCGTCGCTCCATCAGCATCCTCTTCCGTTGCTTCATCGCATCCACCTCGTAACGCCATCAGCATCCTCCTCGAGCATATCAGCATCCTCCTCGTAGGACCATCAGCATCCTCCTCGTAGGACCATCAGCATCCTCTTCGTCACTCCATCAGCATCCTCTTCGTACCATCAGCATCCTCCGTCGCTATCAGCATCCTCCTCATAGCACCATCAGCATCCTCCTCGTAGCGCCATCAGCATCCTCCTCGTAGCACCATCAGCATCCTCCTCGTAGCTCCATCAGCATCCTCCTCGTAGGCCATCAGCATCCGCCATCAGCATCCTCCTCGCAGGACCATCAGCATCCTCCTCGCAGGACCATCGCAGGACCATCAGCATCCTCTTCGTAGCACCATCAGCATCCTCCTCGTAGCTCCGTCAGCATCTTCCTCGTCTCTCCGTCAGCATCCTCTTCTTTTCATCAGCCTCCTCCTCATCTAAACGAAAAATCTAAAAACAAGTTAAGATTAGGACAGGAAAAAATAACGTACTCCTCTCTATCTTCTTCTTGATCTTCATCTCTTGTACCTAAAAAAGACTGAAGAAGTTATTTGTTTGATGAAACAAACAATTGTAAGCACCCACCACTGCCAGAGTTCGCGTTCTTTCACTGTCCGTACGCTCGACATGTCTATAAAAATGCAACAACAATATCATGGCAAGTGATTATGGAGATCGTGCTTTCGCATTGTAATAGTTTTATCATGCTAAAACATTGATATCCATGACTGTACATGATTGAACATGTATGTTAAGTGAACAACTCTTTGAAGATTATAAGACTCGCGGAAAGCTTATCGTTTGAACCGTGCATTGTGTTATAACACCCTCAATGTTATAACACATGCAGTTCTGTAACATTGTCAAACGATTTATTACATGCGATATAATTCAAAATACCTAGATAAAAACAAGATAATTAACGAATGTCTCATGCAATATATTCTCTGCTCAACTCTTTTCGATTTCATCCAAAAGGTTGTTTAATTATTTCGGTAAGGCACTAAGGTTTATAAAAGATTTTGCAACACTCTGCCCGCATGTTGCAATATCAAATGAATTAACTTAATTACCTCAATTATATATTACAGAATATACAATTCTGTAATATATATAATGAATAGTGATTCATTCCTCGTCTCTTCATTTGCATCCTTCTCGTCTCTTCATGTGCATCCTTCTCGTCTCTTCATGTGCATCCCTTCTCGTCTCTTCATGTGCATCCTTCTCGTCTCTTCATCTGCATCCTTCTCGTCTGTCCATCTGCATCTTCCTTGTCTTTCCATCTGCATCCTCCCTCGTCCTTGTTCATCCCTCCTCTTCTTTCCATCTGCATCCTCCTCTTTCCATCTGCATCCTTTCCTCGCCTTTCCATCTGAATCCTTTCGTCTCTTCATGTGCATCCTTCTCGTCTCTTCCATCTGCATCTTCCTTGTCTTTCCATC